AGTACAGAGGAGAGCGTATTTGTACAGGTGCTTTTAATAGGCTACTTGGAAGAGGCAGCAGACGACACGCCCTTTCAAGACAGTACAGAGTCTATGCTGGCTGTGTAGGAATGGGTCATCTTTACTACCAAGTTTTTGTAGCAATTAGTCATATTCAATCTCAACTGTTCCAGTATGTTTAACACTAAACGTAATGAGATTTCTGACCGTAAAAATAAACTTGGGCAAACTGTTAAAGGTGCAACTTTTCTGGTGGTGGAGGATATGCTAACTGCTTGCCTCCAAAGAGATGTTATTTTCTTGCTTGAATGTTCTGCAGTATGACATTAAACTTATTTATCTCCATGGGGACAAGTAGGTGATGCTATCAGGCCAAGTTACGGTTCAAATCTGTGAAGAGGTGACACTGCTCACAGTAATGCATTTTATGCAAAAAGCATTTTCCATTTTCGCAATATAAACTCCTGTAATTTAATAAATCCAAGATAGATAAGTTTATTGCAATATAGTGAAATGTTTAAAGGACAAGCAGGTAGCGAACCCCCTGCAGGAAGAGTTATATTGTGCATCTTTAAATATATTGTGCTGCACACTTGCTAGTTTCTGTGGCAGACAGTGTTGTGATATTGATTCTTGGCGCTGACAATTTCCTGAATGTCTCTTCCCACTTGTCACACTCATTTCATATTCCTTACTATCCTATCTAGTAAAGCCATCAGGTCAGAACATATTTTAAAACATACTTTAGTTAGGCTTAAGTTTTCCTGAATGATAATTCACTCAATATCCGCAAAGTCATCTGTACACATTCAAACTGAAATACACACTGCTAAAATTACATAATGCCTACATAAACTTTCTTTTATTATATCAGAGCAATCATACCAGGTTTCAATTCTGCCTGAATTTGATGTGAGGTCAACAAAGTGCAGCAGCTGTTTTCCCTAGACTTGCTAAACAATTTATCTATGTTCAAGGCTCGCTATTTTAGTCAGTAATTTGTCATTCTAATAATTGCCAGGCTAGCAAGCTAAAACATCAACACGATTTATTGCCTCTGCACATGTGATTTAGTACTCAAATTCTAACAGCATTTGCCAAAACAAAGCACAGACAAAACTATATTAAATTTTCAAGTCAAATAAGGTTGCTGACAATGGCTGGTTGCATCTCCATGCTATCAATACTAGAGTACAGTGGACATGGGAGGCATACAGAGGGACACAGACAAAAAGTCAATTTGTTCAGAGGGTCGCACAAAGGGGGGCAGTTGCTGAGGAGAGAGGGGCCCCAGTGCTTGGAGGGGCCAGTCGGTGATGCATGTGCCTTTGCCCGTGGTGTCCTGTGGAGCGGCTGGCTGGTCATTGTTTATCTGCTTTTTCCAGCTTCGAGAGGGGAACTAATGAAGCTGTGTCTGCAGGTGGGCTGGGACAAGGCTGAGACTGGTCTGGGACCGGGCAGAGGGGAAAAAGGGTGAAACAGGAAAAAGGGCATCTGCTTTGGGTCAAGATGGAAGACTTTATAGAGTGATATATACAGTGGGTAAACAACATGACTTTTTAGCCTTAAATGTAATGCATCGACTAAGTCTTGGCTCTAAATCATCAGCTATTAGAGAAATAATCCAATTACTGGATTTTGTTTCAGGCACATGACTATTGCTGTTAGGAAAATTAATGGTCATAAAATGTGTGAAAGGTGCACTATATAACTTTTCTGGCCAAGGGTACGCCACCTGTTTGTCTCCATGAAGATGTTATTGCTAGAATTTTTCATATAATGGCATTTTGTTAAGCCCTGCAAGGCGACTGCTGTCTGCTGAATTAAATCAAACTCATCTCCATGGAGCCAAGGAGGTGTCGTCATCAGGCCAGTTTATAGGTCATGTCTGTGGAGGTGTGGAGTGGAGTGCTTTTATAGTTATTTCTTTAGCATAAAAAGCACTTGTAATTGAATAAATGCAACATGCTTGATGTCATAAAGTGAAACATTTCAATCAAATCAATAAATGGTAATAAACAGACCCTTCATTTTAAAGGTTGTACAGTAGATATTTAAATTTGACCAAATTCTAGCTGCAGGCCACTTGGGTTGACTTATTTTCAATTTTTCTTATTACAAAATGCAGACAAGCAATTTGATTTGTGTTTGCTTTTCAGAACTAAATGGTGATGAAAAAACATAAAACCTAAGTCAAGCAAAGATTGTCATGTTTAGGGATTTCCATGGGATTAGATATGTGATTGAGTTTACTTGAGAAATTACAGACAACAAAACAGTATAACCTTCTCTTTTAAAAGCTTGTAAATAGTCTAAGATAGCTCAAACCCAATACATCAGTTTAACAGGGACTTTCGTCTGTTTGGGGACAGTTTGAAGTGAGTTTGAAACATTTACGCGTTCCTCAAGAGGCCACATATCTGTGAGCTTTAGCCTGGGTTTATTTACCGTTTGTTATGATTTTATTCACTACACCCCAGAGACAAGTGGACGCAGTGTGACGTCTCCATGAGGTCCTCTGAGAGTCCTGGACCAAAACATAATCAATGAGCTAAATCAGGCCTGACTGTTTGGATTGTATCAGGAGACGTGTGTTTGTGTTTTGATTTCGACAAGATGAGTGCGTGCAGATACGACATGCACCACTTCCTCTGCAGCTAACTAGTCCACGTACAGACTATATAATGCTCCTTTATTTCATTAGATTATTATTTCGTAGGTCACTTTCTCTGGGAATTATATTGTTTATGATCAATGTATTAACCTTCATAGTCATAATTGTTTCATATCATATTGAGTATTCTATAAACTGATAATATAAGGATGCTTATAATGTTATCAGTGACATCACCAATCTTTTCATCTATAATAATCAGTCCTATATGATCCCTGATTTTTGCCCTTTTTTTCTAAGTTGCCCCATTCTGTGTGCCCATATGTAATTTTTTTCGGCATCAGATGCGTTTCTTGAAACAGAAAATGATTTCAAATACAAATAGCAGAGCAATGAAGCGACTGTAAGTTTTGTAAATTGTATTTTATCACAAACAAATACAATTTGTACACAGAAGTAAATAGTTAGTTTGAGAACTTGTTGTAGTTTACCTAAGATTTATGGTAAATATTGGTTATCACATATCAGAAAGACAAATACATCTGTAGTAGCTTGAGAAATCCATATCAAACTATCCTTAGTTTGTTCAGTGAAGTTATTTTATGTTTAGTTATGCAATTATTGTCATTGTTGCTACACTGGCTTTGCTAACTTGTTCATACTCTATTAAGATTGTGTTATTACACATTTTTCAGTAAAATATAAAAGTAGCTTGATTTGGAGCTAAATGTTTTCATAAAGTCACAATGTACTAAATATGCACAAAATGAAATGTACTGCAACAATCCAAATCTACGCATTGACCTGGACATTATAATTAACCATTTTGTCATTTTGTCCATTATGTAACTTTTTTCAGTCCAGGTCATTGCAGTTACACATGAAAAATCTTTATTTATATTTCCAGCCAGAGGGATTGTGGGTGGAACGACGTTGATTTCCTGATAAGAAGCCAAATGACGGTGGTGTCCTTGATGGCGTGACACCAGGGGCAAAACAAGGCAGCTGTTATGGGAAGGGCTCGCTCTGCACCAGCTGACCAGTGCCACAACAGCCGGGCAAGCTACGCACACAAACACACAAACACACAAACACACACACAGACACGGGTGGAGATTATAAAGATTCTCATATCTCCAACTCATAACGTATCAAAATCCTCTAGTTCTATGATGTGCAACAGAAAAAAACAGTACTTGTGAGTAGTAGTACAAATATTTAGAACTGCCATGTGATCTTTAGAAATCACCTCCGTATTTGGGTCTTTCTTTGTGAATCAAACCTCAAAAACAAATAAAGATCAAAATAAAATAAGATCAAGATTTGCTGATTTTAATTTCAGAAGCATTGAGAATATTTCCCAGAGAAGATTCTAAGGTTTCAGACATATGTAGGTTGTACATTTTTCACTAAATATCCACCAAAACACTACATAAAAATGTTGAGTATTGCTCTAAAATTCAAGTAAACAAATGTAACTGCATTCAAAAATATAAAGTTGAATTGAAAGGATTCAGTAAGTAAACAAATATGACCATAAGCAACAACAACAAACACTGCAAGAAAGTGCCTTTCAACTGTCAGACTGCAAATGTTTTGTCCTGGTTTATGTCCTGTTGTGTAATTACTGGACCTTTCCACATGAAACAAAAACTGGCACTAAGTTCAAAATCTACTGTCAGCATAAATAAACAAAAGGGAAATATTTTTTCACAATAGCTTCAGAAACTGGTGCCCTTATTCAACCCCAAAGGCATGATTGATGTCAGTTAAAAGGACTTGAAGCTGTAGCCCATGTCTAACAAGTACTTTCAAGAACAGTACATTCCCCATAGTTGTATAGGTCAAAGTCCTCCACCTGAACTTATGACATTCAGATCTAAAACACACAAAAAAAAAAAAACACATTCTCCCTTTCTCTCCATTCTGATGCTCTATTTGAACTTGAGTGATATGATTGTACATCTATTAGGATTGTTACAGACATGCTGATTAACAATACCAATATTAACTATTAACCTTGTAACCTAATACAACTTGTAGTAGCTATTACAAAGGTCTTGTGCCCTGTCTTATGTGAGTATGAGATTGGACATTTGGTAATTTAACAAGACTGACAACCTTTGGAGAGGGATTTGTTGACATTTCCCACCAAACTGAAAGAATAATCCTCTTTTATAACTCTAACCTGATATGGCCTGGGTCCTTGAGTACTTCTTTAGACCACAAGTGAGTTCAACAAAACAACTTGATTTAAAAAAGCAACTGGAGGGGCTCTGGAGCACGGGCACAAAAGGCGCTGACGTACTATGACGAGTGGAGAAATCAGTATTATGTACGGAGAGAAGGGGTCAGCGCAGGTTGATGGATGAGGGGCGGGACTTACTGCGTGTTGTCCGTAACGATGGGCAGCGCCATGTCCTCGCTCATGCAGTCCAGCTCGTCCGTGAGGCTGTTGGCCCGGGAGATATCGATGGACATGCTGTTGTCCAGATTCTTCTTCACTGTGAAAGATATTTATTTTATTGTTTATTTCATAGGTAGCTCTTTTGCCACAAGTAAAAAGGCAACCTCAAAGTGAATACAAGTAAAAATTTACATTATAATGAAAATAAATGCCAACTGAAAATAAATGTAATTCTTTTGTTGATTATAATGCTTGTTTAGGTCTAATTAAGTCTTTAAGGAAATAAGAGAACAGGCCTATCTATATTAGCAGACGTAGCACCAAGTTACATTTAGTCCAAACATTTCACATCATGAGCAACTTTTTAATAACGCTGTACCTCAGAGAATTAATACATAATACTACTACTTTAACTTTATGTTGAGAATATTAAATAATTGTAACATTTGTCTTTCTTGCACTGCTCCCTCAGTTATTGTTTAATTTTTTCATGTTCAGTCCTTTGAAAATACGAGATTGTGAGCATTATTTAATGTTTTGTCCTTCCAACTACATTAATTCATATGATCAATCAGATCTTTTGTACAGCCAGTTACTCTTTCAACTTGAGAACTTGAGTAGTAGCTCCCCCAAATACATAGATGAGTAATATTATTCTGATATCTCTAGTAATGTATTTGTTCCTTAGTTACTCTACCCAACTCTGTATACAAGTATAGTACAGTCACTATTATAAGTATTATTGTCAATATTGTAGAGCCTGCAGTGAAGTTGAAAGTACCTGGAGATGAAGGGCAGCTCAGAGTGAAAGATGACCAAGAGTGGAGCGGAGGGCCTGAGATCATGCAAACATATGGAAGAAGAAACATCAGAAACTCAAACACAGACCAAGAGGAAATATGCTTTTGAGGAAATTTTAGGAATGTCATGAACATAAATGTACAATGCAAGCTATTACTAACAATATATCACTATACCACATATGACTTATAGAAAAAACTCTAGTCTAAACAAAGTAGTTTACTATAAAATCTTGAGCACTAGATAAACTTTTTTTCATTTAAAGGTCAAATGTTGCCTATCAGAGAGGCAAACCAAAACAAACCAGACTTTATAAACAGTACCTTCCTCTTGTTCACTCTCCCATAAAGACTGCACACTGTACAGATGACAGTCTGACAGCTGCTTGATCAGTGTTCCCTTGTTAGCTTCTCAAAGTGCATGCCACATTTGTTATTGGTGATTTTTAACAATACTGGTAATTTCTGAATCAGGAGTACATTGAGTAACATTACAAAGAAGGTTACAATATCCTGATGTCAGTATTTGTTGTTTGGAAAGTAGACAAAAGTACCAAAAAAGTAGCAGTCAAAAATAGCTTACAGGTGCATTATGTAACTTTTATAGAGGCAGGAACTGGTAGTGGTTTGCCTAACATGTTCTCCACTATGGCTTTAAATTGATCTACCCTACATTCTTTCAAGTAGCTGTTTTTAGACCGTTTTAAGACCTTCAAAGAAATTAATTTTTATTGTCAGCAGAGTTTCCTTTCCAAAGATTTGACCTGTGACATCATTTGCTTGTTTCCTTTGAGAAGGATACATTTAATGCCCTACTGTGGGACTTTGCAGGAAATGCAGTAACATGTACATGGAAAGAAGCAGGTAGCATATGCTCCACCAGAAAATGACCATAGTGCTTCTTTAAAAACTGGTTTACAGAAAGATACCGATAATTGGTATCTTCCAGACAAGAGATGGATGAAGCCAGACAGATAAATGAAACTATAATCTCTCCATTGACTCACCCATACAATGAGCAGTTTATTTCTGACCAGTGAAGCTCTACAATAAACTCTTATCAGCTTTGCATACCCCTCCCCCATCTCCTCTGTCCCAGCCTGAGCGCCCATGGGCTAGTGCCAGCCCTGGTTCTGGACTTGAACTTGGCAAAAGAACCAGTACCAGGGTCCCAGTCTGGCTCTGGTTTGGTCCGGTTCGGGACAAAAGCCCAGTCACACAGTCTAATTGAAATACTGTCTGGAGCACATTAAAAGGCTGGTTAGCTAATGATTAACTCGATGTGCTTTCAAAGGAGGGAAAGAAGTTCTACATTTGTCTACTTTTGGCTTTTTAAGAGTACTCGAGGTTTTTTGCATCAATCTTCTATCGTTTTACCCAAAAAGACCCCCACAGCTTATTAGCCAGTAAAAAAGATAATTATGTTTGTTACATTGAATAATTGTGTAGGAAACTTACCTGTTTGTCGGAACATTCTGGTTAGTCCTGCAAATACAAAAAACACTGTTAAAATTAAAGCTCTAAATCTTATGTTCCACCTTGCACCTTGTCATGTAGTGGCAGTTTTCAAGTTAACAACTACCTTTTACCTTTAGTGAAATAGATACTGGCAATTCCATTTGAGTGATTCTAGTGAAGGTGTATAAAGTTTAAAAACACAGTGGAGCATTTCCTGCATTATGCAACGATGCAACTTTTTTGGTGGGGGGTCTGAAATGTTCCATTGTATGGCATTAAACTTTTGAATTGTTTCTTTTACAAGTGTTTTTATTGCTAAAATGAATACCTTGACATAAACATTGCCTCTCCACAGATTGACCTTGTGGCAACACCTCCTTTTTTTCAAGCTTAATGCCATACTCTGGAACTTTCCAAAAAATCACCTATCCACCACAAAAGTTGCATAGTGCTGTGCATCTTAAAAATTAATGTAAATAAGGTCTAGTTAACACCTAACACATTGAAATCATTTTCACTTAAAATGAGTGCAATTCTGGAGATGCTAAGTCCATGTTAAGTCTAAGGTTAATGTCAGTCTTCATTTTATGATTGCACACTTGGACAGGAAAAACTCATTAAGTCTGTTTATGAACCTGAAGTCTGGGTCAGTTTATTTGACCCGGCTGGCTTTTAAAAACAGGAAGTAAGAGCAACTTCTGCTCAGCCAGTGATGTGAACTATTTTAAGCAAGGTGTCTCACGAAGTTACAAGTCTGGCTGACCTGTTTGAACCTACGTGCTGACTGGAGTCTCTTTATGTATTTGAGTAGCCTAAATAAATAAACGTTTGTATTTGTAGTGTTAAAAGCCCAAAGTCTTTTCACATTTAAGTCGCTTGCATCTCTGTGGGTAATGTCGGACAAGTGAGGCAGTAAAGAGCTTGTAACCATGACCTCTAATTACAGCTCAGACTTTAATAGTTTCAGCTGCCTTTTGAAACACCTGGCAGCCATCTTGGGTTTGGGAAAGTCGAGACAAAGACTAAGCTTAAAGGGTAAGAAGGTATACTGTAAAAAAAAAAAAAAAAACTCTTCTGCAATTAAATCACCCGAAGTTAAATAAGTCACTTTAAAAACTTGGATAAATTTATCAGTGAAAAACAAAATGAAATTTTGAAAGTTTTTTAGTCCAGTGATGTTTATTTCCTTTCTTTTTTCCCTGTAAGCATCCATATTTGTTTTGATACCAAGATTCACTGGTGACCGGACTCACATCTTCATAAAGTATTCAAGATCCCAGGCAAAAAATGTCCTCAAATACAAGAAGTATTTGGTTATTTGGTAAGTTAATTTGATCTAATTAAACAGGTAGGTTTATTGCTGGACCACAAAGTCACTACAGAAATGTGTACTACCTTCGACAGCTCCCCTGGGCTCCTCTAGGAAATAAGACACATCTTTCTTCTCCATGGAGTCATCGATGTGGTCGTAAGTGATCTGAGGGATGGACACTGCTCTCTCCGATGGGGCCCCCATAGACCCATTACCACGAGACTTTAACCTCCTTTTGGTGCCTCTTTTCTGTAGAAACAAGTCAAAAGGTTCAATCAGCACATTAAACTGGCATCGTATTTCAAAAAGTTCAGTGAAAAAACAAAATTCTCTCTCCCAGTGCATTACTTAGCAGGTTAATTTGGATACAGATTTGAAGATGAAACCCCTTCTGCTGTAATGCTATTGAACTGGTGCAATGATAGAAGATCCCTGGCTATGACTTTAATTTCTTTGTGGGGCTGGCGGCATAGCACAGAAACACACAAGATGGTCCTGAGTTCAATTCCCGGGCTTCCTTTTCTGGTGTAGTATTTGCATGTTCTCCCTGTGTCTGAACAGGTTTCCTTCTGAGTACTCTGGTTTCCCCCATCAACCTCAAAAATGCAGTAAGCTAATCCTCTAGTTACATAATCATGACCAAGATACTAGCTGAAGATCTAGAGAGGGGTCCCTGGGTGTTGCATTTCATTCAACCACTGCTCCTAGGTTTCCCTATCACTGGTTGACAGTTGGGCAAATGCAGACATTGAATTTACCAAAAAGGACAACAAAGTCTGCAAAATACACATATACAACATAACTAGACAATTAAATGAGATGTTTTGTGTGAAAGTAGACCTTTTGAATCATCCGTATTGAGGTCAAAGCTCTGTGCTTGTTATACTCGAAGATTCTGTATTATCTAAAAGGTGATTAAAATGGTTCCAGTTCCCACACTAATTACTCAACAGTTATGGGGAGGGTCTTTATATAAAATTATTGGATCAGATTTGAATGTTTATAATGTGCCAGCAATTAATTACAAACGCATACAGTTAAAATGCTCATTATGGGAATCGTGAGAAGATTTATTGAAAAAAAAGTTCATTCAGTTTGCTCTTTCAGGCCACATTAAAGTGTATAATGACAGGTTCCCATGTTTTTCTAATTATGACATTGTTGGGCGAGATAGTACCTTTAATAGATATTCATCTTAGTTTTACATCAGTTTGTAGAAAAAGAGCAGAAAAGTACAAAAATACAAGAAGTAGTAATGAATTCTAAAATGTCTTTCCATCTACTAGTATGTGATGATCAACAAAATGCAGACAATTTGCACATAAGAAAGACAATATTCTGATTATACCTTCATTTAATAAAATAATTTTCCTCTTATTGGACTTGTTTACAGTATGGTTGCTAGATAACAATTACAGAATTACTTTTACATGTCATATCAGCTGCCTGTGTCCAACCAGGAAGTAAAATTATGAACTTCACCTACATTTAGAAACACTAGGGAAAACTAGGTAGGATTGTTAGGACTGTATATCTTAAATGTAATCATGCTGTAGTGAAATGAGTAGTCTAACCTGCCATATACAGTTTAAACTCTTAAATTAGTAAGTAAGAAGCATGAAATAAAAAGTAATTTGTCAAAGTAAGTAAAGTTGGCTCACGAAGTTCCATAAAATCTGGATAAATTAAATAAAAAAATATATTGAGGAAGTACTACAAAGTCACATGCAGAAACAGAAAGGAGCGGATGCATGAGAGTTGAATGCTACACAAAGATTTTTTTGTTGTTGTTGAACGAGACAAAGGTTTGGTTCCATGAGAAAGGCGGTGGTGACATCATCTCCACTGACTGGCTCTTTGTCCGATCCAGACAAAAGCCCAGAGTCATCCTGGAGCTGTGGCCGCAGGGTGCAACTGTGGCCTACGCGATGTGTGAATGTCTATGAACTAGGGCTGATGGGAATTTATTCAGGTGGAGTTTTATGCAATGATGATGACGGTTCTGGGAGCAGCGTGACACTATTGACTAAACTGTATAGGAATGTAATATGCAAATAGCAGTTTAGCAATGTACCAGAGATGAAAATAAAATATAGTGATTCATTCTTGGTATTATGGTAATAGGTATCAGGTGGCGAATAGAGTTTGAGCAGTTCTCAAACATTTTACACCAATAAAAATATTTGAATTTCTGAGAATCACCAGTTCTTAATCAGAATTACTTTTATTCATCCCCTGGCAATAATAAAGCAGATTTATTTATAACAGGTATTAACTGGGCCTGAACTAAGTCTAAAATATGCCTAAATAAGGAGAAAGTCAAAGGAGGAGACCCAAAAATATGAATGGAATTGACTCCAAATTAAATAGTCTAGAAATGTGTGAAAAGAAGGCTGCATACCACAGTTTGAGGACCATTACTACAGAAAATGCACAGAGACAAGTACTCACTAACATTTGTCTACTGGTAGCAAATAAAATATTTTCCGAGAGAAGTATACAGTATATAGCACATAGAGTATATGGGTCCGGTCAAGCGGTAACGGAGGGAAACAGGGGCAGATTTTTTATATTCAAATAGCTCTTATTCATGAATTAGAGGGACTATTGAAATAAGTAAGGTATCAGAATGTAGGAAAGAGTTAGCACTCTAATAGGGTAAAGTTAACCCTGCGATATTCTTTCAAGTTGTTGACAAAAAATTTAAAAACTCATGTAACGAAGGGAATGAAATATGCAGCACTTTTTGGGCAATAAATATAAACAGTGATAACTCTTGGTTCTCACTTACATATCCTTAACAAACTGGTTTGAATATTTGCTTAATATAGTTTTCTACCATATGGTACAAGATTAGGTTGAAAAACCTCTTACTTTTTGAGTAATGAGATTTTTTATTAAGAAAGGTCATGGTAACAGAGGGAAAAGTAACGGAGGGAAAATTGTGCAAGCAAGTAGAAGGTGCATGATTTCGCATAATTTGTCAGCTTTTTTCTTCCGAATACTTTAATATTACTTCAAAATGAAAGGTAACTATTTCTATAAAATATGTCAGTCCTTCCAAGCAAATTTTTATCATTTTAAATACTTTTTTTTTTTTTTTAATCATGTACCTTCATCAACAGTTCAAAGATGGAATAACACAAGATATGATGAAATACATGAATTTATTTACATGATTTGCAGGTCTTTGAAATGTGGGAAATAATTTTTGTTCCATGTTGCATACATGGTATGTTTAAAACATATGTAACTTTAGAACCAAAAATGGTACAGAAAAAAGGTAAGGTAAGGTAAGGTTTCATAAACTAGAGTACATATGCTATCTGTTGAATAATTTTTTATATCAGATGCATTAACTTGAATTTTTGGCCTTGCTGTATACTTCTGCTTGACAGAGCCCATATGCAGGAATTAAGATAAACTAGTTGCATTTCTGATGAGAGTTTCCTAACCACTCTGCCACCATGACTACTGCAAAGCAAACCCATTAACTATGAGAAATTGTTATCTAAATGTAATCTTAAATTAGATCTTCAGTTTGACCGAACAGAACGGGCAAAACTAAAATAAATCATCCAACTAGCTATAATGTCTATACTATTAAAAATAAACTCACTGTTAAGTTGAGTTTCCTGATGTTGGGGCTCGAGCCATCTGAGTCCACTATATTCACTGCCTCTCGGGTGAGGATGTACATTTTCCAGGTCGAAGCACCTCCACCAGGTTTCTCTACCGAATAACACCTCCAAAGAGTCTGCGTGGAAATATTTCAATTAAAGTGGGAATGATTTTCAGGAACAGTAACAAAAGTTCACACCTGGATGAGCGATGCTGCCGCTGGGATCTGTCTGTTGAAGTGTTTCTGTCTCTGCTTTTGCTGAACTTTGAGGGCAAAACCTGATCCCAAGATTCCCTATTTATGAAAAACAGGTTCAATACAGTGAGTCAATAATATAAATAAATATAAAGGTATATTAGAGGGTATTTACAGCAGGCAGTGCAAAGAAGGAGATGGCGAAGACACTGAAACACGATGCAATAGCTTTGCCAATCCATGTCTGAGGGATCTTGTCTCCATAACCAATTGTGGTGACAGTAACCTACAATTGACAAAAAATAAATAAATAAACAGTAATTAAATGTTATATTAATATCTAGAGATATATTCTGATACAAAGGAGAATAAATGTGAAGCAAATAATCAAATCAAATTGTTCCATAGTTTTTCCGCATCAAGTTGTCTCTGCTCCACAGATGTGACCTGTAACTTGTCATGATCACTAATAACATCTCCAGGTAGACAACCAGGTGGCATACACTCTGACAAAATAAATAAATAAATTGCATTTTTAAAACTGGTCTAAAGAAAGATAGTTGTAGATAGGGTAGTTGGCATCCCCCAAGCAGTAGATTTGGATGAAGTCAAACAGATAAATTTATTAAAAATTAAGGAACAAGAATATTACTGCTTGTTCAGCTGAACTTAGTCCAATGCAAAACAGTGACACAACTTGTTTTTAAAAACAATTTTAGTTAGTTTGTACCGATTTCTTACAAAGAACTACTAGCGACTATTGTTAGGTTTTCACAACTCTTTTCTCCTCAAAGGAAATCCACTTTGTAACCACTAATCCAGAGTGTAAGAATTGGATGAAATCACTCTTGCATTTGCATAGTCACCAGCTCTGAAAAGCAAGCCAATGGTGACACATTCAGTACTATTGCTCCTTACAGAGGGTGTCCATGGACTGTGAAGCACAAAGAAGGCTAGTGTAAGGTGAGATACTTAAAGAGGATTTGGAAAAAAGAAAAGGAAAAGAGAGGCTGACTAGAGAGCCCCACACGGCATCTACAAATGTGATGACTGAACAACCTTTATTTTCTATACAGTCTGAGTGGTGCTAAGGAATAAGGGGAAATCTGTTTCACATCAGCACAGAAATGAAGTGGTGTACAAAAAGCTAGCTATAGTAAGGTGTAAAAGTTTAAATACAGAATTTTATTTTATCGTCTCATATGGACATTTAATGACTTGACTTGGTGATATTCAGTAAAATGTGTCTTATCCTGGTACACATACATTGTAAAATGATCTGTCTGCAACTAATTATTATTGTAAGTGAACCAGAAAGTAAGGTTTGTGTGGTGCTAGGATGCCAAGTTTTGAAAAGAGCATAAACTCATTGAGGCAAATAATTAGGATGAACTAGTTTTGTTCCCACATATTTTTCAGGTATTTAGAGATTCTGACTAAAAGTGATACATTCTAACTTTTGGTGGCTCAATCAAAAGTGCATTTACTTAGATGAATTCACTTACTTGAACAAGAAATATTTAGAATATGGATTTCACAAACAAAAAAATGATAAATGCCACAGCATCCCATAACTTCTCAGCAGGACAAGATAAAATAAAAGATAAGATAAAAACTTCATTTCTTAATGATGTATAACTGTTTTATGATGTCTTGCAACATTTGAGAAGGAATACCTAAAGTTAACAATTTCATACCTTTACAAACTACACAGTAAATGTCATTTGCACTAAAGGGTTATACTGGCGAGACTGAGAGAAGGGGATATGAATCATAGTGCTGGCTTTTCCTCTGCACCTGTCCATCCTAAATATGAAACAAAACCAAAATAAGCCCCAGAAATCGGGAAATGATTTGCATATTTCCAGTCTAGGAGCTTGCCTCATTTAACAACTACTAGACATTTATACCGGACCATAGCCTCTGTACTTTATTCTTATGCAAAGACAAGGATACAAAATTGTGATGTCCAACTGAACTTGAAAATTAACAGGTTTTTCCACTTCTTTCTATATAACAGAAGAGAGTTACTGGACCCTCAAGACTTGTGTTACATAATAGGCAGTAATCCCACAATTTAATTTTTAATTAAAGAAACTGACACTTTATATTGGGGCTCTAAAAGTTCTTTGAGCGTGAAAACCCAGAGGTGAATGGTTCATTACAGTTGTATTGTGACCTGCTGATCCCGTGCACCAGTCTGCCATAGGTCTCTCATTACTCGCAGCTTTCAATTCAAATGTTTAATTAACTGCCCTGGAAACTGGAATCTCCACAAAGAAAGAAGCAAGACTCGCTTAAGCCATAAAAGACATCAACACACCTGCCTCAAGTGTAACTGTCAAGTGTGTGATGCACCAACCAAATTAAGACGCAATCAAAAGCAGGTCAGAAATTACTAAGGATTTCAGTATTACAAAACAAATCTACTTGAAACCTCATTTGAACAGCTTATAGGCTATGAGACTGTGTTACTATCAAATAATGCCACTTGCATATGATTTGAATGAGAATGCAAGAATCCAAGAACTACTAGCTCAGTATTTTAAATATATATATATATTTTTTTATAAAATTTAAATACAATTTAACTATTAAAGCTGCACTATGCAACTTTTCTATTAGGGGATAGGCCACCCTGTGACTGTTCATGGTCACATCAAATCTGATCAGTAACTTGACCTGGTAGCATCACCTGCTTGTCTCCATGGAGCTTGATAAGTTTAATGTTAGGGACTGGAAAAGATCTTGTGTCACAAGATCTCCTTTGAAAAAACAAGGTCAAGTTCAGGTGAGTTACACCTCTTGAGAAACTTAAGCAGAGATATAATGACAACAGATATTACATAAAATTAATTTAAATGGTGAGTCAAAAATTTCAAACTGGATTGCACAGTTTTTTAATAATTTTATATCCACACATCTCATCTTGTGGAAATTGTGTCTATTTAATTTTATACTGTGGAACATTTCAGGCAAAAGAATAAGATATTCATGCAGACATATAAAGCAAATCAATTCATTCCTGGACTGCTGAACTTTCTGTCACTACTAAAAATGTAAAAAAATAAATTATCATCCTTACCACTCCCCACCACAGGGCGTCTGCATAGCTAGAGAAACCAGTCTTTCCTTCCTCATCCACAGCATCCTTCTCGGCCAAGTAGACAAAATAGGAAGAAAAGATAAGACCCAGGAAACCAATGTACAAGGTTGTAATCAGCTCCTGCAAAAACAATTAAAACATTATTGTGGATGAAAGAAAGCAGCAGAGAATTAGATGACAGTAATATGTAGCCATACTTGTCGATGAATAAAGACTACAGATCCCAGCAGTCTCCACGTGCCTCCTTGTCGGTCCACGTGCAGCATGCGCAGAATTTGGAGAAAGCGAATACCCCTGTGATAAACAAAATTATCATATTATTGAATTTGATTAAAGGTGCACTGTGCAACTTTTCTGGTGTAGCGTCCACCTTCTGCTTGCGTTTACACAATACCATAAGTTTTTATTGATTTAAAAACTTTGGTATTTTTACTCTGAGTGGGCTTGCCTCTCCACAGATTTGACATGTAACTTGGCCCTATTGGATGTGTGCTCAGATGATATTGTCGTTGTGTCCTTGGGCAAGACACTTAACCCACCTCTCCCCCCTCTGTCTATGCTTACTGGTGAGCGTGTATATGAATGGGTAAGGGGTTCCTTGATGAAACTACTGTGAGGGTTTATATAAAAATGTGACCTTCTTCCATCTTGGCTGAGAAAATAGGTTTGTGAAATATCATGATCAGCATGGAATTATTTAAATTGAAATATCCAAAATGCAAGCCATGTCCTATCCAACTTTTACTAAGAGACAGCTGTTTTTGAACTGATAAATCTACAACTTTTTTTTTTTTCATTTAGAAATATACAATTTTTGCCATACTACAGAATTTGGAAGAAATCTACCAGCTGTCTCTACTTGCCTGTAAGTCCAAGAAATCCCATTCCAATAAAGTAGTACCAGACAATAATTTGGTTCTGGTTACTGAGGGTAAAACTAGGGCCTGGGACCACCACAAAGACTTATCCTGACTTGCAGCCCATTGTAACAACATTAGGGCCCTTTGATGCTTCTTCTACATACTGTAAAGTAGGAAATGCACTCTACCTGATTGCTGATGTGGCAAAGACCTGGCCATTGGATCCAACTCCGAGTACAATGATTGATGCAATGACCACAATGAGATCTGTAAAAAAGGTCAAAGGTTATACAGGTAGTTTGCTTGTTCTGTGCAAATGTTTGATGTAAGACTGTATTAGAAATGATTTAAAACACCACATCAAACACATGTAAAGGGAACAAAGTGAATGCAGGTGCACCTATGATGGATATGGGCTTCCTGATAAAGCGCAGGCGTCCTTTGATGCCTGAGTATTTGCTGCGACAGCCCGCTGACCACAGCCGCACCACATACTCGGAGCCGAAGAACACCACCAACACCATCTCCTGTGGGGCAGGAACACAGGATATGGGTCAAAGGTCAGCATTTTATTTACAGACAAAAACTTAGGATGTCAAAATAAATTCAAGTTATGTATTAATCAGGAACCCTTTTAAATTATTTTGGTGTACTTTTGCATATTTTCAGGTTTTTACATCTTTGGACCATGTTAAAAGTGTTTTTATTATTATTACTTTTTGTGTTTCTATTTGTTTATTTTATAGTATTATTTGTTACTAATAGCCTGCACTTTATTAAACAATAATAATAATTTTTAAAAAGTTATTAAAATCACAACTGAGCCTGGGCTGCCAGTAACTTTACCTGCAGTTACACACACAGACGCATTTTTCTCATTTTCAGTATACGGGACAGGCCATGTCTTATGTCAAAGCTTAGGACCTCCAGAAGTCACTCATTGAGCTGCAGATGGTGCACTAGCACTAGCATGATTATCTGAAGGAGGTGGGATTTAGGCGGTGATGATTCGGATGAGGCAAGATATCTACAAACATAACATCATATACTGTACTCCCATACGACACTGTCAAAATAAAAGCTCTCAACCCAATAATGTGAGTCCATAAAAAAACATAGCTCATGAAAAATGTAGTCACAATTAAGTTTAAAAGTAGCCATCAAGATTAGATTTGATCTGCGTGTATTTACATTCAATGTTTTTGCTAATTCTTCATCATAGACATAGCTATCATATCATCATATCACATATCACATCTTCGCTCAGGCCTAGTAGAGTCAGCAAGGTTTCACCGCCCCTATAAAACCATTAGGGTCATTATTTCCAGTGGCCAGGCTTATGGATATAAAATGAGCTGGTAATGACAGGTGTGTGAGATAGGAGACACTTAGGTGGTCTCGTAAAGCAGGACCACCCACCTGTGAGCTCAGATGGAGGGTGATAACTCTTTTGTTATTGAGGCGCGGTCAATGGCCAAGTGATTGAAGCCACATGAAGAAATGCCAGCACAGTGCGCACAGAGATAAGGGTTGGGACTAGTCTGTAGATGACATCTGTTATGTATGTAAACAGCGCTGCAACACTTCATACAGCCAGGAGTCAGCCCACTGGAGCAGAGACTGTAGTCCAGCGAAACGTGTGGAATTTACTTTTACTAATACTATGTTTTAGTGCTATCGTACTTGAATTTCTCTTGCTTGAGGTGAAGAACTGTAGCTATCTACATATCTACCTGTCTACCTGTGTTGGGCGTCACGATACAAGAACAGCATTAACACATAGAATTAACAACAACAACAACAAAAATCATACTAATATATCAAAACTAGATACTCATCCATACTGTGAATGTGACTGAATATCTATAGAATGATCTTGAGTTGTACCAAAACATGTATAACACCACATGGATTAGTATACACCCATGAAAGAAAGCACTATGAGTTAATGTTGAACATCACATCTTACTGTCTAAATATTATTGTGTTTTTAAATTATCAATGTGGTATCAGATAGCAATGCACACATCTAGCTTTTCTGTTCTGATACTTAGGTATCTGCCAATATCTGATATCAACAGATATCAGCACAGAGACTGAAAATATAATTTATTTCCTTTAAACTGAAACAGTGTATGGTAAAAAAATGATCCGAATGTGGTTTGTAACGGTTATTTATCATTTAAAGTAATCATAGAACAGCTTTGTTAAAGTACAAATTTAATATTACAAGACATTTTGAACCAACATTGGGCAGTAAATCATCTTATTACACCAGTTTGTATCCAAAATGGGATATCAGCTGAACTGATCTCGTGGAACAGATACTTGATTCACCAAAATGTTTAATATCGGTGCAGTATCAGTATCGTATTGGTGCACCCCTGGTCACTATACGCAAATATTTCAAAAATCAGGTACATGGTTGTACATAGTAATACAGTTTAATTAATGGTGCACTATGTAACTTTGCTGGTAGAGGATCTGCCACCTGCTTGTCTCCATTGAGATGTTCTTGCTTTGCCTGGATTTAAAATTATTTTATTTCACTCATGTTCTATAGACAAACTAAATAGATGAGAAACTATAATATTACACTTTTTTGACATAGACATAGTTGGCTAGTATCAAAATGATATAGCTAATTTGTGAAACTGCCTTGAATATATAGGTTATATGCATGGCCACTGTGAATGAGAGACTTGTCAGCTATCTTCATTAGCCTGCGTGTGTATCCATAATATTTGGTTAGTATACTCGGGCCTGTGTCCATGTGGGTGGCCATCTCACTGATTGCTTGAACTGACTGCACCTTGAGCGGCTTTTGTATGAAACTTAAAACCGTGAGTCTAACTGCAAAAACACAGGACCAATAAAGCCCCAATAACAAAGAGCTGCCAGTCAAACCACACATTATCACTAAGAATATAAACTGTAATCTATCATCTTTAACTAAAACATGGAGAATAGAAATTAGACTGAAAACCACATTGTGTTTTTAAGGGTCATTGAGAGATTCGTTGGGGATTTTGGATAGTATTACATCTTTATAAATGGCCCTGGGCTTGACTTGACTTGGTTGTGGATTTGGAACATAACATGTTCAGCTTAAATGGGCACTATGTCCATATAGATGTTATTTCTTTGCCTGAAAAGTTCCACAATATGACATTAAACATATCTATATTCATGGAAACAAGCAGATGACAGCACAATTTACAGGTCAAATCTGTGGAGTTGCAACCCAGCTAATAGTATAAATTAATTATGAATTATTAATGTTTCACAAGATATTTATGAGAATAAAAATGTACTACAAATTTCTATGGAGACAAGCTGGAGGTGGACCCTCAACCAGAAAAGTTACATAGTGCACCTTTAACTAATCAACTATTTAAATTACGCAAGCAATAATGAAGTTAAAGTAGAAATTTTTAATATTATAAAATGCACTGCAATAGAGACAAATACCTCCAGAGATTAGGTGACGAGAGTAACATAATAAAGGTCAAAATACATTTGGGGAAATTGAATGGATTATCCCAAACGGGGTCACCCAGATGTATCACCAACTCAGTGTTTACCAAAAAACAGCTGCCTGTGTGCACAAGCCTAATCTCATCTGCCCTGTCCAAATCAAAGTGGGTATTATATGTTATATCAGAGGGACTTATTGGATTGACTTTTGTGTGTGGCAAGTCCAGTACACAAAGGTGAAGGTAAAAAAGCCTAGGCCTGTCATGATAAATACTATATGGACATATCATTCAAAATATGATAGCTGGAACAATATATTTTGGGGCTCATATTTATCATGGGTAAACTGGGGAGAGTTGTGTTATTTTTGTTGTAATACAATAAGATTTGATGTGCAGATGGTTAAGTCACTGGCTAATTATTGGTTCATTCTGTTATCTATTTGTTGCAGCTCATGCCTTTTAATGATGCTGTAGTCACAATATTTATCTGTTGCATTACATCGTATTTAAAAATTTGTTATCGTGGCAAAATTTACTTTATGCCTTAAAGAGTACACACTAAATGATATATATAGTCACAGATTCAGGGTTATCCAGTATTGACATTACTAAAAGTTGTTTGTGTGATCCCCAGTGCTCCAGGTAGGTTCCATTTATTCAAATAAGGGTGCATTTTTATTGTTCAAAAATACCTAGTTAACGAAAGAAATTCTGTCCATGACCAGACCAAAATATCTGGCGTAAACCACACTCACAGGACCTTAAAAAGTACTATTTATACAGAAGCATTAGAAGAGAAAAGTAGAATGAAAATCATTGTTAACTAAAACTAATTTTGGTTGATTAAGATACGGCCAATTAATTGACCATAGAGACTAAAAGCCTACAAGTCTATTGCACTTTCAAGGTACAGTTTATATTCACACAAAAAAAAAAAAAAACATTCAAATGACACCAAATTCATAAAATTTCACTATAGATAAATTGTAATTCTGAGTAATTTTGTTTTGATTTAGTTAAATGTTAGGTAAATGTAGCAGTGGTGTCTGCAGTAGAAGTCTTGGATTTGAATAACAGCAGTAGCATAAGATCTAAATAAGTTCCCATTTCTACTGTAGTATTTTACATTATCTCTTTAAATATATTAATTCAAGTATGCATAGTATTGGAGTATTCTTCAACCACTGGTCAAATCTCCCTCTTGATAAAAGGTAGTAGTGGTTTAAAGCAGGCCCTCCGTTAAGCCTCGAGACCCCATTCTCCCCTCTTGTCCTCTGGATGCCCCCGTAGCTCTGCACAGCTAATATACATCAGAGTTCATCCATGTCCGTGTGCTCTGCCTGCTTGCATATTCACCATGCACGGGGAAGATAGATGATGCACGTTCTTTGTAAAGTTTCCAAAAAGCAGCCATAATTTTCTCTACCTGTTTGAAACTACGGATTTATTGCTTCACTTAGCAGCACTAATGGTCTAATAAGCCATTTAGCAGCAAGTACCAGCAAGTGCGGCCTACCCTGAGCCAAATGAAACGCAATAACTTCTGCTAAGTCCAACAATAAGTTAAATCTATACACATTTTACTACATAGTGGGCTTGGAGAAAAAGCAGAGTGACTAAAGTACAAACTTTTTGGGGCAGTTTGTCCACAGTGAGGGAGTGGAGACCTGTCCACTAAAGATCTTATATCACCATCAAGTGGAAAAAGAAGAGAACTACAGTAACCCAAAGGAAACTTGTAAATGTGAAAATGTATTAAGAAAAAAACAACACATAAAGCCATTAACATTTACATAATTTTATTTTTATAACTAGAAATTATTTGTATACTGTATAGTTATAAATCTGTTAACTCTTCTACAAGTCCATTAGAATTGTGCTTTACTTTGTTTATTAATTCAATAAGAAAAAACACTAGAATTTTGTAAAAAATAAATAAATAAAAAATAATCAGTTTACAGTTTGTGCTACTATTTTTATTCAGTGCTCAGTCTCACAGATAAAAGCTGATTGTTACTCTGCTTCAAGAGCTCCTTATGACCCCAGTGACCAGTTCCAAAAACATAAGTATCCAAACACGTATAGTGTTTTGCCCAAGGACACAGCATCGATATGTATGGTACAAAATGCTGACTATATATTTTCTGAGATAAACACAACTAGAGGATGAAAAAAACAGGGTGCTGTCTACAGCTACATTATTTGCAAATAACACAGAATGATATGTCAAGTGTAGTGTAGTTGTAGTTGACAGTTGTAGTTATAAGTAAGTCGATAATGCACTCACCATCCAGAAGAGGGTTCCTGTGGCGAAGTCTGCATATTGCTCTATGGTGGACAGGACACTGAAGATTAGACACACCAGCACCATGAGGAAGCTGTGGGCAGAGAGAGTGCATGTTAGTCATGGTCGTAAAGATTTAACCACAAAGGTGCAGATTCACTTTATATCCTCAAAGTTTACACAGCATGTGTACAGAGCATGTTTGTTTACTCTTGTACTTATATTTACACTGTTGAGGTTATGCAGATGACATCACAATGTTTGGAAGTGTATTAATTAGTGGCAACGGTATTAGGGTTAATAGTGGGTAATGAAATTGTCTCACCTAAAATGCGAGCTGCTAGAGTTCAATAACAAATATAAAAGTCTACAAAGACCCATTCCTTAATGCCACAGAGGCAGCCTGTCAGAAGTATTGGGTGGGTTGATGGGGGAAACCGGACTGCCAAAGGAAACCCACCCAGACATGAGGAGAAACATGCAAACTCTGAACAGAAAGGCCAGTGCGGCCCAACAGTTGAAGCAGCAACCTTCTTACTGTGAGGCAAACGTGCTAGCCACTCACCATGCCAACAGCTCCTATCTTTAAATTATAGTATCAATAAGGGCGGGCACTGACAAACTATAGGGGTTTGAGCTTCTTTTTAATAGGCACGGTTTGACTATGTTTCACATTCAGAGAATAGACTATTTAAGTACTGAATTGTTAATTGCTATGGCAACTAAGCAACTTTTCATCACTCTGAAACCTATAAATAGTTACCCATCAATTATCCTAAACTTATACTAATAATATTGCAACTTAATACTAATATTTCAAACACTACCTTGCAGAAACACAATAATTACAAACTGAATAGGTCTTGAAGTATTATTGTTATCTCTCTTCTATTATGTCATAGCACCTTAAATTCCATTTACACCTATGTACTCTATTTTACACACACTACATGTTTAATCGTGCTCTTGTAGTCTCTGGTCCAAGGAGGTGATGTGGGTCTTCCTCGTTGATCTGTTTGTATTCACAGCTCACACAATATTTCCACTTCTCCTAGCAACCGTGACACATTCCTCCAACACTGTCCCATCTGTCCCTGTACACATGGGGCAAAACAGCATGGTCAGCAGCATGGGGAAAAAAGGAGAGGACTTACAGGAAAAGACGTCATTTGGGTTGGATTAGGAAGACAGATTTCCCCAAATATACATGAATCAAGAAATAAATTCAGGATAAGAAATAAACTATTTATATCACATAAAAAAATAAACAACCAGCTGATAACAAATTCACCAAAATCTCTATACTTGTTGTAAAGATCACATATTTACTGTTCAAATATCTCCATCATGACTTTTCTATAAAAGCACAGGATCGTTGTAGAGGACCTTGTGTTAACTAAATAATTGCAGCCTTTGCGAGTTGATAATTGTGCCAACTCAAATTGTGATTTTGATTCAGTCTCAGTATATTGTGCCCTAGAATTAATTTCAATAATTTAACATGCACAGAAGTTGCCAAAATGTATATATGGTCTGTATTATTTCTCTGTGTCCTTCTGGGTATTTTGGCTGGCCTTTTTGACAGTAACAGCAGATTAAGAGTAAATTGTGTGAGTTGCAGAAATAATCCTTGGGACATATCTTTAGAGCGGTTTTACGAGACTTTGCATGTGTCCGCTCCATTACGAGGCTGTGCCAGTGCTGTGGTACATTATGACTACGGGCTGGATTACAGGCCATATGTGATAGAAGCAGTTATGTAAGCACCTGCATGGTGTGTGTTAAATCACAGCCCAAGACCCATTCACAAATATGTTACACACTGCTAAATCTAAAAGGTTTTCATTTCTGTGCTGCAAGTAAATAACAACTGTAGTAGAAAGCGGGGGGAGGTGATTTTTTTCAGCTAAATCCAACAGGCTAGTTGCCATGGGGGTGTGAATGCTTTGCTTTGGGTGTTATTATGGCATTAAACAGATCTATCTAGCTTTTTTCAATTACAGACATTTTCATCAAAAATATTTCCTAAAAAAACATGAATTCTTAATGTGAGCGGTATAATCTTTCCACACTGGTGGAGTGGAGAAAACAGATTTAATGCCACACTGTGGAACATTTCAGGCAAAGCAAAACCATCTCAATTAAAACAGTTAGATGGAGGAGCCTCTGCCAGAGGAGTTGAGCATTGCACCTTTAAGATATTATTATTTTTTAATGGGGTTTAAACATGCTTTTGAGTACCTTTGCTTTGGAATTTCATGTCAGAGGACTTAATGTGCTATAAGCAACAAGAAACCTCTGGCTTTCTACCTTTAACATAACAATCCTGGAAAAACTAAAATCGAGTGATTTTTGAGGCTCAGAGCAAGACGGCATTGTAAAAGGGTGATGAAACAAGGGTGAATGAAGCATAATACAACTCCAGGATTGTTGTGACAATGTTATAACACCAAGCTAAAAAAAAGTCAATATTGTACAATAATTGCAGTGTGAAAATAGGCCTATAAGAAATGCTGGAATTAGTATATACTCAATATTATTATTATTATTATTATTATTATTATTATTAATTATTATTAATTTAGCAGGAAATTATGTTTACTATTGTATTTTGGCTTGTTTATGTTCTACTTTGCTCAAATATATTCAGACAAAAGTTATGGGAGGAGAGAGGGGTGATTTGAGGTTAAAGCAGGAGTCTCCTATACATGGCCTGTGACACACTGCCCAGATGGGACAAGGATTAGTGCTATGGGACAGGACACACGGATGTTAGACACCCTTCATCCTCTTTTCTTTATTTATAGTGTTTTTATCTGTACACATTTTCCACCCCAAGTGTCAGTAAAATGATTCAGCTGGCATTTGAAAAATATTTATCATGTGAAAGCATCAGATGAGGACAGCACACAACCGAGTAGGTCTGAGTATTGTCCAAACAAGATTCTGATATTAATCAATACTACAAAAAAGATACATATTTAAACAAGTATTGATACAAATTTAAAATAAGAGAAATGGGCTAAAACATAACCTTTCCGGAATAGTTTTAACATAGTCCAGATCTATTCCGTATCAGAATTTGTACAAGACTACATGGTCAAATTAAAGAAATTACCAATATTGTAGAGTGAAAATTGCATCTGTTGTCTCAAAATAGTGTTATTGATTAACTGGTATCACCTATTAAGCCTTTTCCTTATAGCAATATGTGTATGTGTGTGTGTGTGTGTGTATGTATATATATATATATATATATATATATATATAATATATATAATATATATATAATATATATATATATATATATATATATATATATGATATAGGATATATATATATATATATCCATAACTACAACCTTTTATCTTCAGCAGACAAATAATGGAAATGACAGGGCTGCCAAAGGTCAAACCAAACCCAATATTTTGGTCTTGAAACAGATCATATTATTCAGGAAAAGCTTTAATATGATGTCATAGTCTTGTAGCTCTCTAAGGGGCCATGTAATCTGTGTGGATCCTCATGTTTGGGACTATGATGTAGCCACCTGCTTACATGCTTTGTTACATTAAAAAGAATGGAAATGACAAATACAACTGACAACACTGACAACAATCATGTCTTTACAATTGAATAATGGCATGGCACCGCCTTTTCTGAGCCCCATTAACCCTTGTCCGTGGTTAATGCATATTTATATATTCTCAATTCTAGGTCAGAAAAATACATGGTTTAATAATCAGGTACAAAGGGGGTATTTTACTTCTATGGGTTTTTCTGGTTACATACATCATTTTTAGATCACCATGTTACTTTTTATTGTCTTAAAAATGCTACATTCACCAAAAACAATGACTCATTGTTTTTATAATTTTCACTCTTGTTTTTGATTCTTCAGAACACTATCATAGCACAAAAATGCATTGTGTTAATGAAACTACTGCATCAGGTGTGTGTACAGTTTTGTATCCTGCTTTTGAATATTTATGGAGAACTGTCATGTAGGAGCATGGCTGACATAGGCTTGTGAGCTGAGCATTGAACAGAATCTTACAAGAGTAAGAGAGATCACTAAATCAAACCTCTTCAAGCATGTTCTTGATGAGGGAACAACATTATAACATGGTAGAAAGTTAAAGCAAAGAAACTGATTTTTGCATATTTTTTCTGCAAATGACTATCATAGCTTCAATTCCTTCATGGGGGACCCCTCCTGTGTTTACAATGTGCTCTTCTAATGTCATAGGAATTGATATTAACTGGGTCCCATTAAGCTGACATTGGTTTGAGTGGAGTAGCCCAGCCCTTTATAGTGACCCCCGCCCTCCCCATCTATGGACGGCTTAGGCTGGATTACAGCACATCAGCTGCCACTCACAAACACAGATATCCCCTCATGGCTTAGCTACCATCTTCTCCCCCCAAATACATGGAAAATACATGTAAGTCTATCTGCCCACAGGTCCCAGGTCAAGACGGAGGCAAGGAGAAAGGCTTGTGGTGCAATTAGATGTATCAGTCAGAACCCGAGACACGTGGTCCTGTGTGGTTAGCCTGAAACCACCATTTAATCCATGGATTCAAATTGAAGATTAAGGAGGGAATGTTTACACTAGAATGAAGTGCAAATAAAGTTGCAATTAAGTACCAAAGGAGACAAGCAGGTGACGTGACCAGGCCAAGTTACAGGGCAGACCTGTTAAAGTGACATCACTCACAGTAAAAATGCATTTTCTTCTTTGAGGTACTTCTGAGGTATAAAAACAGATTTGCAAGCAGACAAGCAAGTGCCAGACCAACTACCACAAAAGTTACACAGTGCTCATTGAAACAACTGAAACAATGTATACTAAGGTAGAATCTGGTAGTAATTTAATGTAGTAACTTGATTAGCACAGTTAGAGCGGCTGCTTCCATCTCTGGTTATTCCCTGTTATGTAAAAGTCACAACTCAGGTTGTGCACGCTGTTGCATAAGACTCTTTTTGGACACATGTTAGCATAGCCTTTGCTTAGCTCAGGGACTTTTTGCTCACTTGTACCCACTATCACCATCATCACTTTACTATGCCTCACTGTTCAGCTCCTGTACTGCTTCTTAAATTCCTCACTGGTTTAACATTAGGCTAGCTGAAAATGTGGTTCGACGACACAATCCTGACAATTTTGACTTTTGGAATTACTCCGATGAAAATCTTTAGACAAGATTATGCCTATCCATCAGAAATATGCAAATATGTGCATGTAAATATTGTGGTTGAGATTCAATATGACACAAAAATGTGAATGGACTGAATGAATTACAAAAGTGCAACAATATAATTTTGTAAAACTTAAACCCATTTCATTCTTTTTTTAAGATTTACTCAATACTTCAAATTTTTATATCTCCAAATCAACGTTGTGCCTAAAAATTTTCAACATGTCTCCCACCTGTACTCCCTAAAGAACAGGCTTGGTGTGAACTACACATAAAATGATTCACTTTTGACATATTTCAATGATTTAAAGGCAGATTTGATCTAACACTCTCTGAGAGCAATATAGTTAAAATCATATCTGTATCACCTGCTGGGGCAGATGTTTATAGACAAACAGATGGAGTTATGGTCATCAGTATTTTGGGATATAAGCCTGTGCAATCTAATATCCATTTATTGTAAGTGAAAGAGGCAATCCTGTTCCATGTGTGCAGTGGAGTTTGGGCTGGTGTCTGGCTGAGTCTGTCTGGCTCTGAGGCCAAAACACTGGAGGTCACATTCAGTAAAACATGAGCAGCTTGTCTGTGAGCAGATATATCCCAGGTTACCTCTGTAGCAAACTGCATAAGATTACACAATGAACACAGTGCAGCCAGCAGTAAACACAAATTGGGTCTTTCTCTTTTTTCTTTTCACTGTCATCTCAAGTGAGAGCTGACGTACTGTATTGTGCTATTGCTCTGCTGTGCAAAGTCATTTTCAATATTGTTTAAAGTGTGCCACGCAATAAATTAAACAGAATTTGAAGTTAAAACCAATTTGTTTGGGGAAAAAAATAATTTTTATTTTCCCCACTTTCTTGTATTGGAAATTGCAGTGAAAAAGCAAGAAAGGCTGCACACTGCAGATGCATGAAGCAAATGTTCTATACCGTGCAGAACATTTTTAGTGAAGAGGGAGAACAAATCTAATCTAAAATTAAATTTTTAGGGAAAAAAAAAAATCAATAAAAAATGTTAACTAAGAAAGGTAAAAAGCTCTGTATGGGTGTTTGTAGAAAGGTATACTATAAGGCCCACTAAAGTGTCAATATTACAATATGTGCTGGTGTGATAATCGATATCGCAACTAATTACTAATACTAAATATATCGCCCACTGACAGAAACTAAAATATTGCAATAATAGCATTTTTGTAGTACTTAACAGGTAAATGCTGTCTTTTCCAATGTCTAATAATACTTCATTGAGTATTAGTTATAAATCACAAAGTTCTGTCTAAATTAATTTTAATCTGTACTAAGGACAATTTGAGAAAAAAAACAAAAAGCTCTTGGAATAATCTACAAAGTCTTTTTTTTTGGGGGGGGTTTACAAATCTCTGAACTCATTTGACCTCACAAAGCAAAAGATACCATTAAACATTTATTGTATTAAGTAACCAAGTGTGTGGCTCTGCGTGAGATTTCCTGGCTCCAGACTGAGTGTGACTAGACCATGCCTTTATACAGAGCCCGTGATAAAAGGTGTCCACCAGTGACAGCCATTGACAAGTAAGAGTTACTTAAGGAGTGTCATTGGCATTGGTCTGGGTGGTTTAATATTCAATGTGTGGTCTCAGGTTCTGTGCTTTGTTCTGCCACAGCTCAACCTTAGAGCCACAATTACTCCTGAGACACTTCATAATGGACACACTTAATAAAGAGAAGATCCGTTTGCCACTGATGGTCATTACTCATTAATCAAGCTGGGGTGGTACTTATTTCATCATATGACGCAGCGAAATATGAGTCAAATCTCATTTAGTTAGTGAGGGCAGGTCATTATGAAACAAACTGTTTGATGTTGCGTAATAATCTATCTATAACATAAAGATACATTTCCAAATATGGCTGAACAAATAATCCCATTTTAATCAATTCAAGAAGACCCAATTATTTCAAATAGTTCATGATCAGCTTGGGGCTTTTGCATGTGACTTCAAACTTTAGAAAAGATAAATAGGCTCTGTGCACAAAGCACACTACTTCCTGTCCAATTTTATCTATGAGGTTTTTGCAGAGTCGTGCTAAAAGGAGTAGATATTTAAAGATAAGGCAATGAACAGGAAGCCGTGGGTCGATGTCACTGAAACATGTTAAAAAGCACTCAAATAAAATGAATACTTCAGGAGAGGACACTTCTGTGTTCAGAGAGAGAGAGATGTTTGTGTCTTAACGCTAATGTTGGGGCATTATTAAAACAATGTATTAAAAGTGACTATTAGCTTTGAAAGAGAGTGAGCTAGCGTGTTGCTGTGAACAGAGCCTATTGAACTCTGGGTCAAATAAGAATCAAGTTTATGGAGATGCAAGCCTGCTCAGAGATTATACTTCAGTCAATTTTTTGTCAAAAAAGTTACATATCATGGCTTTAAACAATGCCTTGAGGTGTAAAAGATAGTCACACTTCTGTGAAATAATATACTATATATATTTGTCCATCCATCCACTTCTTTGCTTATCCGGGGCCGGGTCGCGGGGGCAGCAATCTAAGCTATATATTTGTGCTTATTGTATTTGTTTATATTGTATGTGTTTATTTTTATTTTCCACATGAAGCGTTTCATTTGCAAGTTGTGAAATTGATAATAAACCAATAACTGTGTTAAGTAGAGGTCAGTGGACTCCTATAGCGGGTCAAGTGAGCAGCACAAAGAGGGTGCTCCATGTTTCATGCATGAGCTGCTGGTTTGTTGACAGTGCGGAAGAGGAGGACAGCACTCAGCTCACCTGGGCCAAAGGTGTACTCACCACATCAGACTGACCTGCTTAGATACGAATGAAACCACGACCGACAAGCACAAACTTCCTCTAATTCAGGAAGAAGAGAGCCACAAAGTAATTACCACGGCAACCCCAGTCTAGACCAGGCCCTCACAAGACACTGGACAAAGTTAGACACCTCATAGTCTGGTTTCAGTACAAGGCAATTCAATACAACATCTAGTATAGACGATTCCTTATCAAATATTTAACATATCTATCCATTTATCATCCAGCTGTTTTATAACTACTGAGATAAACACAGATAACAAACTTCTTCTTACTCTAAATAAATTAGCTCCGGGTGATAAAATCAAGGTGGTCACTCTGTGATGTGTGTGCAGTGACACGAGAGTGATACTCACACGAGGAAGTGGTAGAGGAAGCATTTTAGTCCAGCAGGTCTCTCTAGGAAGTTGTAAACATCCCCCTGCATGCTAGTCTTGATGTAGGGGCTCTGGAAATCCTTTTGGTGGTGCAGCCAGCTCGAGCGCGGGAGAGGTGGCGGGATAGGGGTGAGTGAAGGCTGGCCCGCTGTGATCTGCAGAGCTGGGTCCTTTGTGTCCACAGGCGGACAGCGGGGAATGCCTGATCCATTATTCACCGCTGTGGGGTCTAGTTCCAGTGAAACAGGAGAGTAGTGGCTCCTGTCAGGTGCCTGCAGGCCCAGTCCGGCTGCAGTGGAGTCCACTGAGCCCAGAGGGTCCACATCCAGGTCCTGGTCCAGGCTCAGGCTGGTGCTGGCATATCCGTTTGGACTGTAGCCGATAAAAGAGCTCCCCATGCGGCTGCCAAAGTCGCGTTGCACATGGCAGGTCATGTGGAAGGACCGTGCCCGTCTTTCCTCCATTCTGCGCGAAGTCAGGCTTGGGCATAAAAGTCCTGGGACGAGTGCTGGAGGTTCACGTGGAGGGGAGCGGCCCGGCGGGAGACAGCGCGTGGCCAGGCATGGTTAGCTCCCTGTGGCAGCCAGGTCTGCACTTGGCTGCACAACCCGCACATCCATACCTACAATGGAAGAATATGAGCCATGAGATAGTGTGACTGGAAGATGCTCCACTCTCATGCACTTGTTATTTTAGCATCTGACATAAAAAATACACGACAGGGTCACTGTAAAACAAGATGGCCGCACACCACCGGGCTCCTTTTTCACTACAGTATCACAGGTATGTAGTGTTTTAACCTGTGTCAAAATTTAATGTGTTTCCTGCTATCAAGACAGAAAGAGAATCTATATATACATTGTCATCATTTGGTGAATACTGCAGAGAAAATATTTAAAAAGACATTTATATTATTCATGTTATTAAAAGACAAATCATTGCTGTTTGTGAGAACAAATGCAAGTGCTCTGTTAACATGTGGCTTCTGACCTGTCCCATATTATAGGCTTGTTTTATTCTCTGAACATAGACATCAGCTTAGATCAGCCAAGTGCATTTCTGCAACCTCACTCTAGGGATTTACACTGTTTCTGGTCAACAAAATCTGTCTAGTTTTCATCTGGAAAAAATATTACTGAATAAACCAATCAAATTTTCAGATTTGTGCGGACAATTATAAATTAATTAAGTAGTCCCTGCACTACAAATCATTGCTAATACAACACATTAAGTCCTGCATTGCATGCAATTCACAAGTTTAGCTGTTTATATTTCAGTCTTCTCATTCACTCTGAATAGAATGTTAGGGTCATAAAATATATAACTCCAAAGCATATTAGAAAGGTATCACATTTTTTTAAAATCTGTAATTCATTTTTATATTAGTCATGGTATAAGTGTGTTCCAGTTGCTAGACAAGAAGCAAATATACTGTTGCAACTCACCTTCTAAGCGCCTTTATATAAAATGCAGTGTTAATTACTTGATTGATGCTAAGTGGGAGGGTATCAATCTAAACTGGTACTCAAGCTTCGGAAAATGTAGATAGAGCAGTGGAGACAGAGACAGACTAATTAGAGTGCGCCTCCCCTGGCCGTATCCGTCTCCAGTCTTTGGATGAAGTGATGACAGGTGCCACACGCGCTGCTGTCCCGATCTAGATAGTGTTTCCTGCCTTTAAAACAACATGGGCACGATACACACAATGAAATCTGTCAGACTTTAAGCAAGATGCGCACACCGGGGACTCTACTATTACAAACTATTGTGAGATTTTCCGATAAACTTCGCACAAACCCTTCCATGAGTCCATAGACATGTTACAGAAAATGCGTAAATTACGCATGGGTTTAAAATGAAGCAAGTTATCACAAAACTATTTTTTTCCATCAATTAAATGACTGTCCTTAACTTCTTCGTTTAACGTGCAAATGTAGGCTACAGTAAACACTAGTGTATTTTGGCGCGCTATCACTTTTACGCACAAGATAAATATTTACCAAACACACTTCCAGGATTTTAAAAGCAATTTAGCTAAACAACGACGTTAACAGACCCCCAGCCTTACCTCCAATCACCAAAACACGCACGAAGTTGCTGTAAAATAAAATGCTTTCATCAATCTTTTTTCGGTACATAAAATATAGGAGTACTTTGAGAAAATCACCAGTTGATTTAAATCAAATAAAAGTCTGATGAAAAAGAGAGTGAACGTCTTTCATCCTCTGGTGCGTGCGGAACTTGTCGCTTTGAAGTGCATCGCGGTCTGAGCATGCTGCGTTAGTAGTCGGGTAGGATAATGTAGGATAGAGCCGAATACATACTGGGGTTTCATGTGATTGCTTCATGTAAATATATATTTTTATTGCGCACATGATTTTAAATGAGCTATTATCACTGCAAAGACGCAATTTTGTATTACCTTATAGGTTTAGCAAAAGTGTAATGGATTTAGTGACACAAATAATAGCAAAAGTACAGCAACGCTGAACCATCATATCTTGAATATCTTGTGTGTTTTTGTTTACTTTTACACACACACACACACACACACATATATATATATATATATATATATATATATATATATATATATATATATATATATATATGTATATATATATATATACACATATATATATATACACATATATATATATATATACACATATATATACACACACATATATATATATATATATATATATATATATATATATATATATATATATATATATATATATATAGTCATCTTGAGTTAGGGCCAAGTACCCAATGAGTGAAAGGATCGCCTTGTTTACGGTATGAACCTGAACGTCTCAGGCTGAGCAGCTGGTGGAGGGACAGCTGCAGGGGGACAGCCACTGCACACTACACGTGGATGCGTGCGAGCCGGCGTAAAGTACTATAATCACCTCAACAAACAAGGATATTGAACTTATTATAACGTATATTGTTCAACCGGTGCATCATTGTGCTTTGTTTTACATTTGTCTTGCAAGTTGAAAAGCCTCGGTATTTTCCAAGACTGTATTAAAGAAAAATGCTAATACGATATGTGACTTCAAAACGAAGTGCCAAAACTAGAATCAAAGTCAGGTTTTCGTGTTTTTCTTACCAAGATTTCTCCTTTATTTTTCATTTTATTACCTCAACATAATCGCTCAAGTCACTGCACTGTCCAGCGGAGTCAATCTGCAGACACTAGCGCGCAAGCTCTGGTCTACAGTCCCTCTTTGCTTTCCGTAGTCGCAGGAACAGAAACATGGCTTCCTATACAACCAAAGCGCTTCTCATCTTAGGACGAATAAACGTCCCCCGATCCCGTCTGCAAAATACCACAAACAGGGCTACATACGTGTCAGTTCTGTCTACAAATTCTCCTAATGGAAATAGAGGTAGGTTTTGGAATCGAGGGAAACTCTCGGAGCTTCTTTAGCCTCATGCTTCGCTGGCAGCCATCGCTGTCATGTTGTCAATGACATTTCCTCTTATGTCTTAGTCTCATGTTTTAGTGCATGCACATACTCGTATTTTATTAGTTGAAGTACGTCTGAATCGGGGAATAGGGTGATGTTTTATGATAGTATGTGTATAGCCTACAAAAGCATCGGATAACACTCCACCCTACAGTTAAATTCTGTAGGTAATATACCATGTTTCTATTTGTTTTCCCCTTAAATATTGAATAAGTATTTTTGTGTATCTTGGATTCGGTGGTTTTGTGTCATTTGTAGAATGTTTTAATAGGTCTGTAGAAGTTGCAGTCGCAGTGAATTAGCAGTTGATCATGTAGCACGCTATCCTATTTTTGTGTAGCTGGCTAGTTCATTAATCCGTTTGTTGGAAGCCTCACTTTTAAGTGTATTTTAAATTTAACACCTTTTATGCAGTCATGACTACAGTATGTATATGTATATATGAGTGTATATGTGTATATGTACGTAGGCTTGCCAGAGAGACGTGGCCGAGGTCAGTTTGGAAGAAAGCCCAGAAGAGAAGTAAGAGTTGAACAACCATTTGTTTAAATGTTTGTTCTCATAACTAAAAGCCTCTTGTTGATATCAGGAGGGCATGCCACGGACAGAGAAGATGCCTGTAGATCAGGACTGGACTGCAGTGTACCCCTCTGCTGTTCCCTTCAGATCAAATGCTGTCCCGCTGCCTGTCAGGATGGGGTATCCCATAAAGGGAGGAGTCGCCCCAGACAAAAAGGCAAACTTGGAACTTATCAAGGTCAGACTACTTATAATGTATAATGAATAATGAATAATGTAACGCGTTCCTGCCAAGGTGCAAGAAAGGGTGTATTTTAACATGCACAACAGGCTAATCCTGAATCTTATCCATGCAAGAACCTTGCTAGAAGAAAAAAAATGTGCACCTTAACCTGAAGTTGCTGTCATAAATTTGAGAAGTATTTTGATTGAGCTGTATGATTGCAGGATTACCAAACTGTTGTGTCCAGACACCAGCTGTTCCATCTGGACCCTAGCCACTTCTATATCCACTACTCTTATCCCTCACAGCTGGAACTCAGCCGTGCTACAGACAAGATCCAATTCTCCCAATTCTCCCTTTGCCTTGTCCCCTCTCCCTCTAAATCAGTAGTTCTCAAACCCGGGGTTGATACTCCCATGGGGCTCACAAAACGGGTTTCAACGGGTGTCCAGATGATATTGGCAAAAGTTTTAAATTTATGCAACAGTCTTAAACCAGACTTGACACCCTTCAAATGCAGTGGTATGTGTAGATATGTAGATATTAGCTGACCTAGTATGTATGTATGGGACATGGTCTAAGATAAAATAATATGATAATATTATTTTATCTTAGACCATGTCCCATACTTTTACTGAGAACATCAGTTTAGACCCACTGTGTGCCATACCCTTTAATTTAAGAATGTCCCATACACATCACAACAGTGCATCTTTTTACATTTATATTGATTTTGATTTTGTCTTTCAGATCCCCAATTTTTTACATTTGACGCCAGCTGCTATCAAGAAACATTGTGAAGCACTTAAACGTAAGTTACATTTTATGATGACAAATTCTTGCATGTATATTTTGAATTTCAAATGCTATGCTATTTACTGCCATATGTAAATAGCATAACATGTAAGGCATTGAAACTATCTAGGTAATTTGTTTTAGCACAATGCTGGAAAAATCAAGCAAATCCCAAATATAAAACATGACATCCCCTTTAATATAAAGTTGAAAGAGGGAGAACGGTGGGCTTCTATTCCTTTTGTTGCCACTTTGCAACAAAAAGAATGCATGTTGTTTTGATACTTAAACTGAATTTGGTCCAACATGATTTACAAAGGATTGGAACTGTATACATTTTTCTTTTTTTTTTTTTTTTAGCTTTTTGCACAGAGTGGCCCTCAGCTTTGGACACAGATGCTAAATGTGACGAACACTTTCCCATTAAAGTCCAAACCACAGACTTTGTATCAGCTGGTCCTTCACTCAGAAACCCATCAGCTCGCATTGTGCACCTCAAAGTAAGTTTTTCCTGACACTTTCATCTCTCTCTCTGGATGTAGGCTTTAGGTTTCTGCTGTGTTTTTACAATGAATACAATGAATGTTAAGTTAACTGGGGGGAATTTTAGCTTGTAAAGTGAGATTATAGATTTAGTGGGAAGAATAGTCACCATCTGACATCATGTTCCTATGATTTAGCAAGAACAAGTGCTTGTTGACCCTAGGCCATAGAGACTTGCTTATATGGATCAGTAATGTGACATTGGCATTTTTGTGTCCAGAAACCACAACTTTCTAGTTATTAATATATAAAGGTTTAAATTGTTTAAATGTATTTCTTTTATATCACTTTAGTTACACCAGTGCTTCTCAAATAGTGGGGCGCCCCCCCCCTCCGTCAAGGGGGGCGCGTTTGACCTCGGGGAACATGCTTTTTTATTTTTTTATTTTGATTTTTTTTTACTGTCCTAGAATAAAGTGCAATTGCACTTCCACTACATTAGGGGGCAGTGACGCTCTCATTGGCGGAGTGTGTGCAGGGAGCATTCGCTCGGTGGTGTAGGAGTTTTGTTTGCACTGAGCATGCGCGCTTTGCACACAGCACAGAGTTTGAGTATGAAGTGTAGACACGAAGTGTAGCAGACCCTCAAGTGACACCATGAAAAAATATTTAACATGGATGAGAAGACAGACGGAGATAAAGAGACAAACAAAAATCTCCCGAAAGCTAAGACGAGGAAATATGACGAAGCGTATGTAGCGCTTGGCTTCACTGTGACTACGGTGGGAGACGAGGAAAGACTAGTGTGCTTACTGTGTCTAAAAATGTTGGCAGCGGACAGCATGAAACCCAATAAATTAAGGCGTCACTTAAATACATTACACCCCAATCACTCTGATAAGCCGCTTGAGTTTTTTCAGCGAAAACGTGCCGAATATTGCCGACAATCATCCTGCTTTGTGACTGCTACTTCAGTAAACCAGTGAGCGTTGTTGGCATCATATAAGGTGGCAGTGTTACGCAGAGGTGTACTTATAACAATTTTATAGATAAATGATACTATTTATAGTCACGCGAGGGGGCGCGAGATGTTTTATTCTTCCTAGGGGGGGCATGACAGAAAATAATTGAGAAGCACTGAGTTACACCAATACACATTTAGATGAAGAAACCAAATTTGAAAGAATATTATAGGTTTAAAGTAGTAAAATGTCATTTGGTGAAACAGGTCACACAAAGAAGTATTTTTAATGGACAGAGAGGAGGCTGGCTGCATAGTGTGGAGCCTTGTTAATACGCCCGGGGAATGAAGTTGCCTGACCTCTTCCCGATATGTGGTAATATGTGCAAAGCTTAAGTTTCGCTGTGCATAAAAGTAAAGCTGTAACAGACCTCTTCACATGTACCCTAACAAGAAATGATAAAATCTGCACCAAGGTGTCTGCAGTTTGACAGAGAGCCAGAGACCAGGGAATAAAGAAAGAGAGACAGACGTGATAAAGGAGCGAACAGACAGAACCCACTGTCACCCTCAGAGTCCAAACCAGGGTCTTTCTTTGTGTAAAAGCTGCACTTCCCCTCACAATGTGCAAGATCATTTTAATAAAATAATGGCCATAGGCATTTATATGATTTGGTCCTTTTTTGTTGAGTGCAGGGTCCACCCACACGTGTCACATGCGTAGGAGCGTATGGACTTTAAAGTCTCAAGCAACACACGACTATAAAAGCCACTTTTTAAACTGTATCAGACAGGGACAGGTGTTCTAACACAGGTGTGTGACTGCACATGCTGAAACTTTTGACTTTCTTTAGACGTTCTTGGAGACAGAGCTAAAATAATTTTGACAGTTAGTCTGGTCCTATCCAGGTCTGTGCATTGGTGCTTGTTACTGCCTGGCACTCAGTGCCACCTCTGGTGAGTCACTTTAGGGGAACGGAACTCAGGCTTTGATAAGCCTGGATTGCCCAAATAAAACAGGCTTTCACTTTAGTTTGCTTCATGGAATACCCCCCAAGAAAAGTTACAAATTACACCTTGATTTTTTTGTTTTACCCTGCCCTCAACTGCTCAATACATTTTGCATACTTTTTACCACGTATGATCCACCTATGTAACAAAAATTTTGGACTTGCAGGTTAGAGTCAGTTGTTTTACCTTTTAAAATCCAACCATCTGCTCCAGTGATACTGCTTTAGATTACATCAGCAAGGTAGGAATTATTGTAGCATTAATCCCTGTGGATTAAACAGGAAAAGATAGTAGATCAATCTGAATGTAGATCAGATGCTCTGAGCTATGGTTTGTAATGTCAAAGCAATTATTTAATATACTTCAGCTCTACAGCTAATACATTTATTGGACCATGCAAATCACTATTTAATATAGAAGAAATATGCCTTCATTCCGCACTCTTCTCTCCAATTTATGTCTCTCTTTTTTAATTTTAATCTTCATGATTATTTATGTTTTGATTTGTTTTTATTATGATTTTAATGTATTTCTTATTCTGTAAAGCACTTTGAATTACTTTGTGTACGAATTGTGCTATACAAATAAACTTGCCTTGCCTTGCCTAAATGCAAGTTATAATAAAATGCAGTATATTGGTCATTAAATAATTAAACCAAAAGTATGGAAAAACAGTTAGGGTGCATTGCACATTCATCACATCAAACTCTGTACTAAAACCAGATCGAACACCAAAAGTAAATCTAAACTAGACCAGGAGTAAACAAAGATTTGAACAAGACCACTAAAAGACTAAAATGCACTAATAATAGGACCAAATTAAGGGTGAACATAAAAGTTCACCCTTTTATGTTCAGACATTATTTTGCACCCTTCTGTAAAACACAACTTTGCTTCTATCCTTACATAGATGAAATCCTATAGGTTGGAGCCCCACAAGCACAATAATAAACTGTAATCTGTTGTTTTTGATCCTTGCAGCACAGGGCTTAGTTCATCTGAATGTTTCATTTGTGTATGGTTTTAAGCACCACAATCACAGCACTATATAGGTTTTCAAAACATCATGATCTTCAGCTTTGGACTGACTTTATTAAATATTTACTGGTGTTATGGATGATTGTTGTACATTCTGAAATGAAAGTGTGTAACATTAAGTTGTTTTCACACAGGTGAAATTGTCGAGCTTAAATCTGGATGATCATGCACGCAAGAAAATGATTAAACTTGTGGGATCAAGATACTGCAAAAATACAGATCTTCTCACTATTACTACTGACAGGTAAACCACAAACACTGCTGAGCATAACATGTTTTAGAAAAAAAGGAATTGAAATGTATTGATTTTAATAATTTTGATTTGTCTTTTTGTTTTTTCCAGCTGCCCATTGCGAAAGCAGAATTATGACTATGCCATGTACCTTCTTACGGTCCTTTATCATGAGTCTTGGGTATGTACAATGTGGGCTAATGTTTTTTCAGCCATCCCAACGTTTGTGAGAGCAATGAAAGTATAATTACAGCAATATTTTGTTATTTTTGATCTGATATGAGTAATTATGAAGAATATATATGTAAGTCAAAATATTTTTTCTGTACTCATAAATGCCCATTTAAACTAAGTAGGCTTAGATTTTAAGTCTGTGATGACATTTGGTTCCTCTTCAGTGGTGAATCTTGTTCTGCGATCAGTGGGCTTATCCCATTAGGGAGGTCTCCACTCTGAATGGCGAAATGGACGGCAAACAGCAGCATTGTCCATTTGACATTTCCTACAGCTGGTGGAGAACACTGACTCCCCTATCTGATCTTAACCCCGATTCACATTAAGCCACATTAGAGACACAAGCATTCAGGTCAGCACTTCTCGCCCTGTTCACATACACCACATCCAAGCACAACACAAACACACAATTACACAACTTGTATCTGTAAAGCTCTTCCAGTCATGGCTTAGTCACTTTCAAACCTCTTGTGAGTAAAGGTAGTGGAGCCAAAGAGCCTAACCCTGTCCGCTGGCCTTTCGGAGTCACAATGGGGACACAGTGCTTGTCCGGCGTGGGCCTGGGGAAGCAGAGAGAGCAGCCTAACGTTCAGATTGTAACATTAGATCACAATAGGCCCAATTGTGTGGAGTTGCTGAGGTGATTGTATCTCCACCGCTCTCAAGCACAGCGACCGTGCTGGCTCAATCCAGCGTGTGTTAATCCAGAGCGCTATTGTGTCAGTTATTGCAAGGGTCTACCACTAGAGGTGCCCAAACTGAATTATATTGTATTAATGAATTCTCCTGATTGTGCACTTTTGGCTAATGGATTTTACAGTGTCTTTACACCTAAAGGTGTGACATTTTGAAGCATTACAGCCCAGTGTATTTCAGTTGTTTACCGTAATTAAATATAAAATTTAAAACTTTGTTTTATCCAGCAATACCTTTTAAATATTTTTTACTTTTACCAGATGGTGCACATGACAGTTGACAGGTTTACTCTGTCAGTGCCTGTTATGTCAGTCACGTGCCAACAAAAACATTAATCATGAATAGTTTTCACCTGTATGTACGTATTTCTATATGTAATCAATGCATATACCACATTATGTTTTCTAGTGCGGTACATATAGATGCCATGCTTCGAAACAAATCTGTTTAAACTTTTTTTTTTTTGGTAATTGCCAAACAATGACTTTGGTTTTATTGACCAAATTTGTCTTATCATGTACAGTAGTTGTGTGTCTTCCTCAGTGGCCTAGAGGATGTAGATGTGAAATGTATAGCGGTAATGACAGTCATTAAAGGCACACACCTGGACAGCAGTGAGCAGGGCTGTTTGACAGGGCCGCTTTAATCTGCCTCACAATGGGCCACATTGTTGTGGGGGAACGTGATGACAGACACAGAGCCCCTGGATGGAGCCGTACATATGGAGAAATAGTATCTCTGTGAGAGGAGCATCAAAGGACCAAGAGCTTCTCTATATATTACATAGGAGGGAAATTCATTATTTTCACTTTGTACCCAAATACCTTTTCAATTTAATTTTAAAAAGTTTAGAAAAGCACATATTCCTTACACCAGGTTAGTCTGGAAAAATTCTTCATATGCAAATCTTACCTTGCTACATGAGATATGAGATGAAGCTGAAACAGTGGTTTAAAGTTACCAGTAAACACTGTATGTAAAGATTTTAATTCAGCATACAGTTTTTGACATGATGGTATTGTGTTTATGCCTTTTCTGAATTTGAAAATAGAAATATAAGAAAAAGCATTATCAGCAGGTCACAAAAGCATTGAGCTTACTATTTGTTTCCTCATTTTCTTTCCCCCTAGGCTTTACTAAATAATTTTTCTAGACCCAATTTTGACTTGTATTTAAGTTTGTGGTTTCTGAAGAGCCATACTTTATCTCCAGAAAACCGAGGGGTGGGAGGCAGAGAAGACTGTGGCTGACATGGAGGAGTACAGCTGGGAAAACAGTCCATCCCAAAGAAATCTCTTGGACATTCTAACTCGCATGGAGGTGGTGGAGGAGGAGGGAGGGGAGGAGGTGCGCCAACAGCTCCTCGGACGGGCCGAGGTTCAGGAGTATAAGGACTCTGTGACCAGGTTAAAGAACGAAGGAGAGAATGAAGATACTCTGCAACAGTATAAAGAGGCTGTCAAGAAAGTACTCAAACTGTAATTGTAATGTGTTATAGACATTATCTCTTCTGTGTACTTTATACTTACCTGTGTGTAATAAATATGAATTGTGTAATAAATTCTAAAATTTACTAAACTATTTATTGATTATCTTTTTTTTCTTGTTATGGCATTAAAGGTGTATCTCCATATACAAAACATTATCATATTATGGGTTAAATCAGTAGAGGCGACGCTGCTTACAGTAAGAATAAATGTTTATCGAGCATCATCAACACCTGTAACTGAATGAATGCAATGTGCAATACTGTGGGACATTCTTGGCAAAGCACTAATATCTCCATGGAGAAAAGCAGGAGGCGGACTCCCTTTTCTCACAAACACACACACTAGAAAAATTTCATAGTGCATCTTGAATAATACCACCAAACAGTTATCCATTGTGTCAAAAATAATTCCAAAACTTAAAACTACAAGGATTCTAAAATGTTGAGATGTCATGTAAACACAACATAGAAGAATTAAGTTTTACTACAAGGAGTGGTGAGAGATTGCATGGAAATCTAAACTTCTTTAACTTTTGAAAATAGGATGCAGTGCTGGTCTGTGGTCTTTTGGAACTCCTTTAAAAACTCAATGCACTGGGGAGATGTGCTCAAAGGTTGCACACACTGTATTACACTGTCCATCAGAGGCTCCTGGACAATGCTCTGTTGACTTTGACCACTCCGGCCGTGGTGCATTTTCTGCTTGGGAGCAACCCATTAAAGCCACTTAAGACCAGAGCACAGAACTGTCCAAAGTCCTCCAGTCTTTGGCATCCACATCAGTCAAAACCCACTGAGGTGCATCAAAATGTAGGTCAGCCAGATGGACAGATAGATCAACTTTCTGTAGACATACTGAATGATCCTGTTTTGTCTTACAAGTGGGACAAAAACATGCGCTCAAATAACCAAAATTATTGTGATGTTATGTTTATATATTCACTTTCTATCATACACGCAATTCCATTTTGTTCTTGCATATGACTTACAACAGATGCCCCTCCTATCATGGTCTGCTTGATTTCTCTTAATTCATACTGGTATACTATACAGTGTATGTATAAGACCACATGACAATGACCAAACTCATTTGATCTCAGAAGCAAAGCAGGGTTGGGCCTGGTTAATGTGGGAGACCGCTGGGAATACTAGGTATTGCATTGACTCTAGTCTAGTACATACTGGCATGTCTGCCAGCCCTGCTTCTGCCAGTGTACCCCATAGCAGCTGTGGGTACAGTAGAAGATTTCCACAATCAAGTAGTCAATGAAACATACAATGTGAAATACATTACATTATTAATGTCCTTTAACTCTCCATTATCAGAAAACTATGATGTGTTTTTAAAGCATAGGTTTCTTATTGTGCTAAAATGGTGAAAATTATGTAGTCATTCTATACAAAATGTATACAGTATTAGTTTGCTCACTCAAAATATATTATGTATCACAAAACCTTTAACTTAAATGTAGTGTTTTAACTTTGATTTAAAAACTATGCCATCGACGCTACTACGCCTTGTATGCAATTTACAGTAATAACTTATGTGATTTATTGTTCTATATAACATAACAATCAGGAGTTCTCTTTAACCAGGACATACTTAATGAGGCGCATGGAGCCTTTCTTCCCTCTCCATGCTGTCCGGTATCGGCCCATCCTCTTCCTGTGCCCCCTCCAGCTGAACACCAGGACCACAGAGCAGCAGCACCCCAGCAGCACAGTCACACATATGGCCACTGCTACCAGCACCGTGTGGGTGGCCACATGCCAACCAGGCCCCAGCTCACCCCATGGGTCACCCCCCACACCACCTGCGGAGGCCTGGCCATCCTCACTGACCGCACTGTGATTCCTCCCCAGGCTCCCTTTGGTGTCATTGGTTTTGTGTTTGCTGCTCTCTATGTTGGCCGGTGCATCGCTGCTGGATATTGCAGGGCTGACGGTGGTGGTAGAAGGGTTGGGAGATTCTGTAGAGGCTCCAGAAGCCATATTTGATAAAAGAGGATGAGTTAATGTGGTTGAAAATCTATTAGCATGGCTATCGGAGCTGGATGAAGTCTGAATTTTAAATGTGGGGGCAGTGGGTGGAATTGCGGGTATGGTAGTGGAAAAAAATGAAAATTCCTGATGTGTACCAGTTGCCATGTTGGAATGTTTTATCCCACTTGTCTCGGACCTTGATGCTTTGTTAGTGGATTCTGTTGTAGTTACCATGATTGAAGGTTCTATCCCAGAAGGTTCTGTACTTGTTTCCATGTTGGGTTGTTCTCTCCTATTGGCTGTGGTGAGTGTTGTTTTGGAGGTCGTTGTAGAGCTGGGCTGAGGAGCAGGAGCTGGTGGGAGAGGGCGAGGGCGAGGGTGGATGAACTGCCTCTTGTCCGGAGGCAGAGGGTCTGAGGCATTGGAGCGGATGTAGTGATGCGGTAACACACGCACATTAGTGTTGAAATATTTACCAAACACTAACAGGTCTGGATCCACTCCTACAGGGAGAGGAGAGTATATTCTAAATATACGTAAATAAAATATAAAAAATGATAAAGGTAAATAGTAATATACATTTTATTCCTATACTGTTGGTTCTGTCTAACACGTATGCCATTGCTACTTCCCAAGTTCCAAATTAATGAGTTGCTTCATTAAGAACATGTTACACTTATATAGACTATAATTTTTAAATAGCCTATGGCAAAATAGCCCATCATGTAAAGTTCTAACATTATATCACAGTATCATATAGTATAATATTTAAAGTACATTCTCTGTACCGCACCTTTGGTGATGTTGTAGAGGACCACGTTGCCCCTGTGGCTCAGTATACAGCTCTCCAAAGTGGGGCAGTGCAGGTGGAAGCAGTTCACGCTTTCTTGAATTGCATCGTAATGGAAAATTGCTAAATTACAAGAAACTTTACAAAACAGACACACCGTTAAGAAGGCTATTGTGTCACAGTGATTAAAATAGTTAATATAACTTACAGTTCCTTGTCAGGCAGCAGGTCCGGCTACACTTGAGCGCAGTGTCCTCTTGATAAAACCTGAGTAACTGCGCGCCTCGTCTCAGGGACTCCTCTACATCGATGTAAATCCCCGGGAAGCGACGGATCCAACAGTTTTTGTAATAAGAGGTCGGAGAGCACCTGGACTCAGTGTAGCACACCACACTCAAAAGCGTCAACAAGCGCCATGTGGCATTCATCGCGCGTAATGTAGCTCAGAGCATGGCTAGAGGGACACATCAGAGAACATCTGTGCGCCTAAGCCGGGGACTAAAGGCGTAGAATGGAGCCAGTGCCATGGTGTAATGGTACCAGTCTTTTAGGTGTGTCACTGTTACGTACCTGCGGGGGGTGGGACCAGCCCTTCTTCTTCAGTATCTTATGCTCAGGTATGACAAGCACAAAAATGCCAAAATGTCTATTACTCTGGGCTATAGACTTTTAAATTAACCAATACCGTAATGGTTAGATAATAGTTTAACTTGATTTATATAACTGGTTGCAAATGTGAATTTTGCAAAGTCTCTGAAACGTTTGTGCGCATTGGATCGCCTAATGCATGTACAAGTAGGAAAAATAGGCTACGTGTAAGCAATAGGCATAGTTATGAATAGGTAAACATAAAATTCAGGACGATGTATTAATTCACTATTTTATGTTTTGTATCCTATATTGCAAATCTATTTGATGTAGCCTGTTTTACATAATAGTTCTCGAGCCTTAACTTCCTTTCTTATAGTGGAAAAACTTGCAATCCAGCTTTGAATGAGGGCAAGAGAGTGGATTGTCGTAATTGTAGCAATCTGCCTAGATTCTTTCAAACGGGATTATGAGGGAGAAAAAAAAAAAAAAAAAAAAAAAAAAAAAAAAAAAAAAACTGGCTGTGAGGAGGCGTACACCTGTTGGGCCGCCTCGCTCAACTTTGGCGACCGTGTTCGTCCATCACCGGGACACTCTCTCATCTTACACCGGGGAGTACAAAACTGTTCACAATAAAGAGCTTCAGAGAGAACTGGGATTTACTGCAACAACGTATTGTAAAGTATTAGCAAAACTGCATATATCCTTGTCATTATACCTCCCTAGTAAATAAAATCCGATGAAGTTGACATTTGGACATATTGAGATAAATTCTAGTGTGATCTCTGGAAATACCTTAATATTTATCAATGAATTATTGTTCTTAAGGGTAAAAGCTATTAGTGTCAAAACGGGTTGGAGTTTATTGATGGCTTATTGCTGTACCATAAATATGCATGTAGGGAGAAAAAGATATAGAAATTCATGTATAGTGTTATAGCTCTGATATATATATATATATATATATATATATATATATATATATATATATATATATATATATATATATATATATATATATATATATATATATATATATATATATATATATAAATAATAGTAACCATTCTCATACTTTAAAGTAAAACAAAGTATCTTGGATCTTTATGTAAGAAACACTTGTATTTTATCTAACACAAATAGGGCTTATTACAATCACAGACATAATCTGCAAACTCCAGTTTACAGACTGAGCTGGTTCAAGTTAGCAGTGTTATCTCATGTGCCACATTGTTCTCAACCAAAACCAGTAACACAACATCGAACACCAAACAACTGAAAAGCAATCATTTTAGCCTCTTTGTATAGCTCACATTAGAGGAGATGTAAAAGCACTAGTAATAACAATTACCCCAAATGTTGAAGATTGGCACCAATAATGATCATTTCAAATGTGCAATTGGTGACAACTATTTAGTACTTCATACTTGAGTCACTAGGTGGCGTCCTGAGGCAGCCAAACTCATCCACAAGCATCCTCCCCTGCACATGCACAAGTGTAAATGACAATAAAACAAACCCTAGCACTAGTAAAAAGAGATGAAAAACGCAGTCACTGATATTTTAACACGGTTCACTTGGCTCCTGTTGGATCCTTTGGTATAAAGACCACAGCGTTGAACATGGACCTCATTTTCTTTGCCTTTTTCACGTACAGTTTCAAGTCTTAAGTTCACATCCCCTGCAGGGGGCCATCAGGTGTGTTGAGTTGATCTGGTTTTCCAATGGCTGGGCTTTAAGTTTACAGAAGAGCTAGTCCATTGTGCTACAGTCCAAAGTATGTGGGGTCAGTCTTTGACCAGTCTGTAGATGTGATGCTGTGCTCCATGCTCACTAGTAGATACTTCAAATACATAGGCTATGCACAGCAGTGTCTCCAGTGTGTCCCTGTTAGTCACCACCTGTGGAGAAGCAAGAACCAAAGTGAACACTCAAAACATTTGATTGTCAATAGAGGTATGTGTGATATTTTAGTATACAGTTCCATCTTAGTACTGTTGTCCAGCCCTATGTCTTTTATTTAACAGTCCATACCTCTATTTCTCAACAAAGATTAATAAAAAAAGCTAAAAATAAATAAATAAATAAATAACTATATATATTGTTAAAGGTCATATATTACACAAAATTGACTCTTGTAAGCTTTTAAGCTATGCTATAATGGTGTTACTTCCTCAAAAACATACCTGGAGTTGTGTTTTGTTTCATTCACACATGTTGGAGAGTAGCCCTTTATTATTAGTCTGTCTACATCTCCAAATCTCAGTTCTGCTCAGTTTGTTTTTGCTCTGTTCCACCTTGTGATGAAGAGGTATTTAACAGCTACTTTTTACCTTTTGTTCAGTAGATAATTGAAATTACAGGACTGAAATGATCAAAACAATTCTAGTAGAGATGTGTGAAATTTAAAAACACAGTGGAGCACTTCTTGTTTTACCATATGACATCACAAGGTGGAAGTGCTGTTCATGTACAGTTAGAAAGGAACTATACTATATTGTTACTAACTGGGCAAAACGAGGTCAAAATCTTTGTTTAATAGTCATTTATACAGCCAATATGACTTTATTTGACCAAATTCCTAACCCTAATCAAATAGCAAATGTCTATGATAAATATTTTAGAAACATAGCATTAGTTGTACATATTTGATTGCATCCTCATATTCAGTCCTAAAGTGAATCAGACAGTATCATTTTAATTGTCTCCAGTCCAGACACAAATACTTTGACAGACCATCAGTTATTAAATGGTGCATACAGTGTTTATGAGAGTTATGGCTAATACAAGCTAAATCAGTCCATTGAGAAACTTAATGACATGCTAACGTGTAGTCGTCTGCGTGGGCTCAATGTGGTCATTGTGCCGTGTCCAGTCGGAATGCAGCCGACAATGGAGGGGACATGAGTCTGTTTGAACCAGGTCCTCAGGGCTGCTCTGTTAGTATAGAGGCCTCATTCACCTCCTTCTGTGTCTCTGTATGTTATCAGACTATATGAGAAAATTGAAGGGGTTTTGAGAATACAGTGCAGAGCAAAATTGTGTTTGAGAAAAAAAAGATTTTAAATATTTACTTTCTCTAACTTTTTCAGATACATGGGGATTAAAATACAATTGCTGCCTTAATATTTAGCCTCATGACAAAATGTAACTTTGATAAAACTGATCAAATTGATAAAATACAGAAAAAATAAAATTAAAAAAATGCTACCCTGAATATGTATATTTATAATATATTTTATAGGGTTGGTCATACATAAAGAACAACCCATTGCAAGCATTGTTTACAGCATTGTAAGCATTTGGAAGCTTGGATACTGGTTTGGACTTTATGTAGGCAGCGTTTTGGGGTAGTGCCAGTCAATATAGCTTACTTTGTTCACTGAAGTATTTTTTGTGTTTTTACCTGTAAGATTGTGAAGTTTTCCAGTACACTATTCATCATGTACTTCTCCGGTAGATGTTTAAGTTTGTGGATGAAATTTATCATATATTCACATAAGGGGGAGCGATGAATCCGGAAAACATAACGGCCATTCTCGTAACGTGCGTACTCCGTCTATGGAAAAAAACAACCACAACACTCAATCATGCTTGTACATTGATTATATTGTTTAAACATTACAACAGAAATGGGTAAAAACACACACACACTATAGGCTCAGTGAAACTCAATTGGTTACATCTGATATGGACGTGTATGCGATAAGCTGTAAGATGTGAAATGTAATACACCTAATGGGGCATATACCATCGCAGATATGACAATAAACATATTTCTTGTGACAACCGTAATAACATTATGAAGCCATTAAACAGCATCATGTGGCCCACGAGGCAGATGGCTCTACCGCGGGACGTGTGTGTTTATATTGTACAATCCATCAGAGGCAGGGGAGGGAGGGGGAGGAGGAGGGAGGGAAGGGAATAGGGGGAAGGGGCCAGTATTGTCCGGTTAACGGGAAGCATCACCGTTAGTCATGCGATGGAGATGTGTGAATCACCTTTATTCTGTCAATAAATGACTGGAATGTGTTTCTGCATTTAACATGATTACAATGAAGTCATGACCTGTTGCAACCAAATAGTCAAAACATTCATGAAATTTTGGAGTAATACATTTAGGTACACTGTATAACTTCTCTGGTGGAGTGTCTGCCACCTGCTTGTCTCTCCATAGACATGTTATTGCTTTGCCTGAAATGTATGGCATTAAACTTGTCTATTGTGCATTTATCCATTTACCTCAATTACCTTGAAAAACATGTTCATACTTTGAGTAACTCAGCCTCATGGTACCACTTGCTAGTCTCCATGAAGATGGATGTGCTTTATTCAAGGCAAAGCATTAACATATCCATGGAAACACCATGCACAAAAAGCAGCTTTTATGTATTTTTCAAGACAAGAATACTGTGATACCCTATACTTCAGAACATTCTGAGATATCCTGGTGTGTAGAGCTTAGATGTCACAAAAACAGTGTATTTTTAACTGCTAACTGTTGAAAAAATATGTGTTTAAAATTTAAATGAAAGTAAAGAATGACGGTACACATAGTGGTCTTCTTACTTCCACTTTCTCGACCACCTGTTTGCCAAAGGAGCAGACTTTGGTGGAGGAGGTGATGATCATGTTTTCAGAGCTCTCGTACTGACTGGAAACTCCATAGAAGAAGTTACTGTCATCCTGGAGGTTTATACTGAGGTCCGCCTGGAAACAAAAAAATGCACAACATAAAACACTTGAAGATTAAGTTTTAAACCAGTATGTGATAAAACTTGTATAAATGCATTTGTACATTTATTTAAGAGCAAGTGCTATGGAGATGGTGTGTTCATTTCTGCAAATCTATTGTTTGTTATAAGTTTTTAAGGTTCCTTAAAAATGTAAGTAGTTTCACTATAATTTTACAGTGTGTTTTTACACCTGACGCCTTACCAAGTGCAAAATATTCTAATGGTAATGGACAATATGGTTGAACTGTCTTGTCCAGTGACATAATAAATATATAGAAGGTCATTTTTGAACTGGCAACTCACTTTATTATCACCACTATCACTGAAATCTATTGTAAATGTGTTAATCATATAAATATGAAACTATGCTGTATTTTATTGGAAGCAATGGAGAGAAATGTCATTATTATTGCTCTTCTCTGAGGTAGCATACACATGTGTTTTTATTTTTTGCCTGTTTTTGTCATATGTTCTGCACAGTTGAATCTTCAGGTGAGATCTGCTTCACTTGATGCTCTGTGATGCTTTCATTATTATGGGTCTGAACTAAAGCCAGTATAATCTCATTTTGGCCCAGACCAAAGTGTGGTGTGCTCTATCTGACAGCGGGACGGCTCTCCTGTCCCCTGTCAGGCCCTTGTCTCCTAATGGGCCATTGAGACAGCGCTCACCCTCCTCTCATCTCTTCATCGCCTCTTCATCTTCATCCTGGGCCCATGTAATTCCTCTATTTGTCTTCATCCCTGGGGCCCGCTGACCCACACGGACTACCATTGCCTGCTTCCCTAACAGCCTGCGAGGGAATTCATCCAATTACAATCAGCAGCGTGCAATTGCTTGATTAGATCAGGGCGGCAGGCTGGCTGTGTAACAATTTAACAGATCCAGCTCAAATCGGATTCCCTGGGCACTTCAAAGGCGTGAGACAATCCGTTAGGACAGGGCCACGGGCGCAGAGGGGTGACACAGAGTGGAGGGCGAGCCAGCGGCCGACAGAGGGCTCTGCCTGAAATCTAATCTGGAGTGCCATAGCTCTGGAGCAAGGCCAGGCTCCTGTCAGCGTCTCCATGCCAACCTGCACCTCACACAGCCGCGGGACAAGAGCTGCCACGAGGCTCTGTCATTAGGCCTGTGTCTAATATGTTTTACCATACCGAAATAGGGTTAGTGTATTTTCAGAAGTCTGCTGGATTTCATTGGGAGGATTTTGATAGCCACAAATATCTGTATTTCCTTTCTTCAGCCCGCGTGTTGAAATGCCCAGCTGTTTGGGAACATTTGTGTGTTTTGTCCTGGATGTTTGGAAAGCGCAGAGGAAAGGACCCCTGGGGCCCTGATGAGACGAGCTGTCTGAGGGGACAAGGTTAGGAGTTGTTTTTTTGTATCTAGAGTCATATGTTGAATCTGTTGAGTGGAGCACCGTCTAACATGAATCACAGAGTAATATTTCATTGATAAATATCTTGGTGAGGGGATCCGGCATCTCTTGTTCACACTGTGTGCTGACAGTACGTGACCCTGGTTCTATCTCACTATCTTTACGGCGATCTTACTCTTTCTCTATGATATATGGCAGGGTAATATGTCCCCTCCTTCCTCTCACCCCAGAATCAAATGCCACGGCTCTGACCAGCTGCTCATCTCAAGGACCAGAGAAAACTTCATCCAATCTGGTGTCAGCCATAAATGTCTTTTATCACTCCATAATAAATAATCTGCTGCTCACATCTCTGAGAGCATGAATGCCTCTCGTGCCATGTGGGGGCAGTCGGTTGGACTGGTTCACTTTGAACTTGACATTCACAGTCTTTGATGCGCCTCAATAAACTAAGAGATCGTGATTGTAACATGATTAACCACAGAAACACTCTGCAGCCCTGATTGTGGTCTGGCTTGACACAACATATGACTGCAACTAAGGGGCAAGCAGGTGGACAAAAAGCTGTTTTATGCAGAAATATTTTTTATAATGGCATTCTCTCTTTTGTGATGCAATCATAAAATAAAAAATGTCAGGTTTTTATGCATTCACAATTCACATTTACCCAATAATCTCCTTGTAATAATCTAAATACTTCCCATGACATTTGTTTTGCCAACTTTATTATTCCCTTCTTTTCTTCACAGTCTACCTTTTCTTCTCTCCATCTCCTGTGTCATCTGATGTCATGGCCGGTTATTCTTGGGGTGATGGTGAGTAGGGGTCCCAGCGTTTGTCTCAGAGATTGTTTTTGTGTGTTGGTCTATAAATAGGTGTATAGGGGGTGTGGGGGTTTGGCCAGGCTAACTGTCCCGGGACAGGTGTCTGGGCTCACATTTCCCCAGTGAAAGATCAGGCCTGCCACTCGGGCTGCACGCACACACGCACACACACACTGCCCTGATCCAACAATTAGACACACTACTACTTTGAACTCATTAACATGCTTTTGTTTTCTGGCAACTAAATACTGTAGAACCTCTACACTTACCACTCAGGTATTATATTATATATCAGTTTTCAGTCATAATTTTGCACGGCAAGATTAATATTTGTGAGTTCACAAACTCATGAGAGTCATGCTCCCTCTGTTGCAATAGGGCCTGGTCCAACAGTAGAATGGAGACTGGATAACAGGGTATCATTGTGGTTTGGGCAAAAGCAAAAGGTGCAGAGCCCAAAAGATTCAAAACACACACGGTGACACTAACCGATATGCTTCAGCCTATTTCAGCAGAAATACAGACTACTTTGTGTTTGAAAAACATTTAACAAAAGATCAGTTGTTCAGGTGTTATCCAGGTCACCTCAATCATCTCATACAGTGGCACTGAAATGAATGATCACTTTGCCAATTAATTAATCTACAAACAGTAGCTAATTTACAACATAGCCCAACTCAATCAACAACTAAGGATCAGAATTAATATATTTATATGCAATCTATACTGTGTAAAACAGTAAAACACATTTTTCTTCTAATGAAAATGACAAGTTGATAGATTATAGATTTATGTATAAATTGAAGTATAGACCAGGCCTGAGCACAATAACTTTCCATCCAATCTCACTCTAAATCACAGCTACGTTTGTGTAACTCCGACGCTTAAGCTACTTCAACACAGTTAACACCGTGAGGCCATTAGCAGCCGACAGGTGTCACAAAACATTAACAAGAGTATCCTCTGCACTCTCACTTCACATTCATGTGGCTTAAAGGGCCTCATGTAACAAAACACACTGTACTCACTCCAAAATTAGCATGAGCGGAATTTTGTATTAAATTATTGATAAGCTATCATCAACATAAACAATCTATTTCATATTTATCGGACACACACTTGCTTAGGGTTTTAAATAATCTTCTTGCAACTGCTGTTAGAGGTCTAACTGATCATTTCTTTTCCTGTTGCTGTAATCATTATTTTGATATGTTTGTAAAGAAACTATCTTTGCTATAGTTGTAACTGTGTTATATTTAGAAGGGATTTGTTGAAATGAATGGACTTGTCTACTGTAATTGATTCATGGGCCTGTGGTATAGCATTCCTGTAATTGAAAAGTATAGATAGAATGAAAAAGTAGTTTACCCAGAATTTGACCAAGAAGAAGGCATTATGAGGCCCTTTGTCAAACAGCTCCTTCAGGCCTCCTTTCTTCTCAGGGAACTTGTCATAGATTTGCCTGATGTCCACTGACTCCAAATACGGGTCGCTGTAGCTGGGGTTGGACTGGCCGATGTGGACAAACAGGTGCTTGTTAAACTGTGGAGACAAATACGCATCAGGAAGTGATCGCAGCCAAAAATGTCAAATGTCCCGTTAGCCAAATCTCAAACTGGAAATCCCAGGACATCTGTCTAACCCCTGATGCATCACAGTTGTTAAAGTAGCACATAATCTTTTAAGTTAGGCTATGGTTAGATTCCCCAAAAGTGAATTCAGTGGAGTTCTCACTGAATTTAATTTGTAAGGATCAGAACCATTCATGTTCTTAATGATGGTTTACATTACAAGTAATAGTAATAATAATAGTATTTATCTGTTTTGATTTACTCACAGTTTCAGGGTCCTGGGGTTGCTCAAGGAAGGCAGAAAACTCCAACATTCGAAGCTTTGAGCTGGCAATACATCGGCCCTGCCAAGGAGGGGCGCCGGGGGACATGGCTAGCCCTGCGGTGCTTTCATAACCTGTGTGTGTAAGAGTATCTTGAGATTACTAAAGAATAATCTTTTAAAGTTTTAAGATTTAAAGAGTGCAATAATAAAAGGTACACATTTTTTTATTATTATTATTGATTTTAATTCAGTAATATAGTTAACAAAATGACTGACTAACATAATGCCTTGTTGGATAAAACAAAATATGATAAATGATATTGTTATTATCTTATATTAAATGATTATGTGTTTACATTTTCTTGCTTAAAAAGTGCACTGTGCAACTTTCTGGGGGGAGGGTCCACCACTTGCTTGTCTCTGTGATTACTTTGTCTAGAATATTCCACAGTATGGTGTTACATGATTGATTTTATGGAAATGCTCAAGTCTAATACCAATTGTGGCACATTCCAGGCAAAGCAATAACATCTCCATGGAGACAAGTAGTGACCGGTCCCTCCACTAGAAAAGTTACACAGTGCAAGTTTCAGTAATATATTCAGAAATCATCCCAGGGATCTTATGCCACTACCACAAGTATGTCTGGCAGCTCAAAAAGTAGAGTGAGGTGAGCGCAGGAATTTATCACAATCTGACGATAGGTTGAAGTTGTAAGACTGAACTCGAAAGTGTGTCGTCTTGTTTCTTAATGTGTGAAAGTCCTATTTGTGTCTGGCTTTTGATCCAGGGCCAGTCGGTCTCATCACTGCTTGGGCCGGACACTCCTCTGTCAGTGGTGTGAGGGGAGGAAGAGCACCCACCTGTTATGGGCGTCGGGCCGGATGCTTGCATGGTGTAAGTCTGCTGGGAGAAGGGTTTAATGCTGGAGGGGGGGAGAGAGAAAGAAAGACAGAAAGAGAAACAGAAAGAAAGAGAGAGAGAGAAAGAAAGAAAGAAAGAAAGAGGGAGAAAGAAAGAGAGGGACAAAACGAGAGAGAGGAGGAAAGAAAAAAGAGACAGAACGAAAGAGAGAAACAAAGAGTGAGGGTGAAAAATTGAGTGAGAAATGAGAGAGAGAAGGAAAGAAAGATAAAAAGAGAGGGAAGGTTAGATAAAAAAGAGAAAGGAATTGAAGAAGAAAGGAAGGGAGGGAGAAAAAGAGAGGGGGGGGGGTATAGAGAAAGGGAGAAAAAGAGAGAGAGACATGTTAGGCAAGTCTGAAGCTCACAAGACTAATTGGTCCATAGAGTGGAGGGCACAGAAGTATGCAGCCGGTCAAACAGCTGCAACTCGACTTTAAACTTAAACCCATTCATTTCAATTGGTTCTGAAACTAGCATTAAGTGAAATGTATTAGACGCTGAGTAAATTGCGTAGTCTAAATGAAGGATTATAGATGAAGCCGTTATTAACAATAATGACTTACTCTTCGTGGCCTCCAGGCTGCCCCGAAAGTGCTCCGTGCCAAAACTAAGAAAACAAACAGAGAGGAGATATTTAGGTGTTTAACAGTCAGACTTGAGTATCTATGTTAGTTTGGCTTTCTATAAATGGGCAAGTGCTATTTTGTATCCACTTCAATGAGTATAGGGTATCAGAGGTCACTTGTAGATGCGAGATGGATTATGTTTCCAACAGCAAATTATAATACAAAACTCTCTAAGAGTACTATTTTTAATTACTTATATTTTTATTTGGCTTTTTTCAAATTTGGGCTTGGGATTGACAAAATAATAGGCCTTCATTGGCTTGTGCCAAATATTTTTCAATAAAACCCATTGATTTGTGTATAGATGCAATCTTATATTACCTATAACCAGTAGTTTTTGTGTATTGGTTTGGCGTATTGTAGCTTTGAAGCAATATAAAAAAAAGAAAAAAAAAAAAAAAAAAAAAGAAAACATACTTTTAAATTGAAAAAAGTGAATCTTAAAGTACTTTCACACTAGTCCTTTTTTGGTCCTGGTTTTATCTCAGTTTTAGTCCAAATGTACTTAGTTGAATTCTGTTTTAGTCCAGGTCTCATTCAGATTTAGTTCTGAGTTTACTTCTTGTTTAGTTTTAGTTAATTTTGATGTGGTGATTGTGCAACCTTTGAAATTGTGTAATGATCATCAATATGCTTAAGTGTACTATCATGTGTGTTGTTTTAAAATATCTTTCACAATATGCAATGATTAGGATGATGCAACCCATTTCATTTCTCCAGGCTTGGGCCCAGCAAAAAAAAGGCCCGCCCCCATACTCACTCCTCCACTGGTGGGATAGGCGGGCCGAGACAAGCCCTGAAGTGCCATCTTGTTCTGGAAGGCGGTGGGTGAGATGATCTGAGCAGACGACATTGTGGCCATACTCTGCAGTGCTTTATCTTTGGCGGCCTGGTCCTGAAGGGGGACATGGACACAGACAGTGAGGCCCAAGACTTAAGACAATCAAATACACAGGATTATCAGGGCCTGTTTAGGTCCAGCTCACACGCACGGCCCTAAAGGGGGAAGTGGAGCTGGGGCTGTTTCATCATCAGTGAGGCTCTGCCAGCAAACACAGCAATGTCATATTACACATGAGGGCTTCAGGTCCACTGTAAGGTTTATTACTGTAGCATGAGCAAAACAATGATGACAAGCCCCTGGTGGAGGACAGGCTGTAAGGTGCAACAAATATACATGCTTAAATTGTTTTGGGATTACTGACTACAATATTAAAGCACTGGTATAATTTTAGAATAAAAAATAGTCTATGCACAGACATGAGCTGAGAGAAGAGGTTTTGCAGCTCAGACATATAGGCCAATAGCCAACTAAAGAAATTCTTTGTCGACTAAAGACATGTCCTGCCGATAGATTACTTGACTAAAAAGGGGCCATGGCAAAAGCTCTCGAAACTGTTATGTTATGTCTATGTATCTGACCCAAACTGTACTGACAAAATTATACCTACACAGGAGTTCATGCAAAAAAAGGAAAAACTAACTAACTTCTTGCTCCATATAAATCCTTGTAATCTATATCCTTATAATCTAAATACTGATGGCTACTACTAAATCTATTGTGTCTGTAAATATACTCCATCAGGATGCCTTCAGTTGTCATCACTACGGATTCAGCTGGGTGAAAATGGGAAAAAATCTCATTCATAGGAATTTTGGCTGTATATTTAAATTGTATATATTGTTTTGTGATGCTAGGGAAAAGTGGGAAAACATTTGGTCAGTTCTAAATACAGTTTGCTGTAACACACAAAAAATGCAAGAAATGTACATACATATTTAATCATACCACGTTTCCTCATAGTTTTTTTATAGAAATAATTATATTATTTAATAGTATAGTAAAAAGGTGGTATTTGCACTTCTTCACACTGGTTTGGTCCTGGTTTTGACAACTTTGAGTCCTAATGTAGATTTGGTTGCACTCTAATCTTGGTCTAGTTCAGGTTTAGATCTGGATTTATTTCACTTTAATCCCTATTTCCGCACCCTTAAAATTCATAGATTAATGTCATTCTGTATATTTTGTATTTTTCATGCCTATATTCTTTTATCAATTGCACAATATGTTTGCTTATTACAGACAGCTCTAAATTTAATTCACATTAAGACTAAAAGCAATTCCACTCCTTATCTGTAAAGTGATCCAGCTCTTGTTTTTGAATCCTTCAGCAGTTTCCAAACCACAGAGGACCATAACCCTAATGGGCAAGGCCACTCGGTGCATTCTTCTCCTCTGGACGGGCCAACACAAGGGCATAGCTCAAATATGGAGGGTGCATGTGGCCAGGCTCTCAGTTACACCAAAGATGTATTTAAAAAGACTATTGCGGAGGCCAACCCTGTGACCAGCCCTCAAACCTGCCAAATGGACCTCCGTGGCCACCGTCCAAGCAGCGCCAGAGTCCACTGTCTGTCAGAGCAAGTGTGTGGATGTGTAATGTAAACTGAGAAAGGAAGAGTGGAGGCAGTCACAGAGATGCTAGGTTCACTCTTAGCATAACAGCATAGCGCCCGCAAAACATTTACTCAGGCACTTACAAATGGTAACGCTGGAAGGGAAATACATTATACACTCAACAATTTGTACAGAAAACAAATAGAAGAAAAAATATATTATCATCAACTAAATGTGCAATATTAAAGTGGCTGTACCTGAGTTTTTTCATGTATTTTAGAAATTTGTCTTACCCCAGTACACATATTTTGGAGCTCCTGTGGTCAAAATGAGACTGTATGCTGAGACTGTATGCTGTCTAATTATTAACGGCTTTATCCTCAAAAATAAGGAAGTGGGCTGTTAGTATGCTTGTGACAGCAAAACTCTGCTCTGATCTTTGAAAGCTGTGAGACACATTGTAAAAACACATTGTGCCAGAAATGCAGAAGGTAAGTGAGGATTAATTCTGAACCACTGCAAACTGTTGAACTAGTTCTACTTTTCACATTTTAAAATGGTAATCACCAGGTACAGCGTCTTTAACGTAATCTATGAATTATAGACATGAAAACATCATGGACATGGACATGACAAAACATACTGAGTTTAAGTGTCCCTTTTCTTGGGTCCTGCAACCATCCTCTAGCCTGATTCATCAGCCGGTTTCACTTTGTAGAAACCATCTGACCTCGCAGCATTAGGATTCGTTCAGTCGATGGCAGGCGGATACTTTTTTTTAATTAAACCAATCGCTGCTATTTGGTCATGACATATGTAATTCGCCGCTTACGGAGCTAACTGGTATATTAAGCTTTTGATAAAATTCACCAAACATTCTGGTCATTCTGGTCTTAAATCCTCGATCTCGGGAATCGTTGCCAACACAGAATGTATGACTCTTCACTGACTGGCTGGTGCCCAGACTCACATTTCCGGGGTTCTTGCAAACCGTCTAGTGTATTCAGATTCCTGACCTAGTCACTGGAGAGAAATGAAATTGAATGGAGTCACTAGGTGGTACCAGCCTGGCTAACCATCCTCTGCTTTCTTTAGTAAATTAGTTACTGCATTGGTTAGCTCATTATTTACATACCCTTCATGACCCTTTTTGTTTCGTATTAACTTGAATAATTTGGAAGTCAGTCAGTGTGTTTGTTAAATAGCAGACAGCTGGTGTTTTATTATTACCGTATTAAATACAGTATTACAAGATATAACCCATAAATCTATTGTCTATTATTTCTTGTACTGGTGAGTGGGATGAGTGAATTTGTGTGTGTAAAAATAAAGAAAAGTTGACTCACGTAGCGTACCTTGAGCTTCACCTGGATCTCTCTGGCCTTTCGTCGAGCCAACACCTGGATGTGGCTGGACACCTAATGGAAAAAAACAAAACATAAGTAAAACACAAGTTGCACCTCTGATGACCAAAAAATGCTAAAGTTACAGGTTAGCTACTGCATCTTCCTATAATTTCATATAGCTCAGAAATAAAAAGGCATATTGTGCTTATGTCTGCTATATAGTTATAATCTAAGACACCATTTTTGTTTTGTTTTGGTATGTACAGAGAAGTAGGCTTTTACCTGGGATAGTGAGAACGGGTTAATCTGCAATATGGCATCTCGAAAATAAGTGAGTAAAGATAACTAAATAACCACAAATCACCCCTAATACAACTTTAACAGTGTAAATGCTTTAACAAATTATCAAATCCAATGAAGGATTGGGTGCGTACAAATCTATACCATATTCATCCAGGAAAACCATGTCAGTCATTTTTGTTTTGACACAGTTACTTAGCAAACCACAAAGATTAATTTCCTCCATAAACAACAAAATATCTTATTCATCTGAAATGTGATTCTTGTATGAGTGTGTTTCTTCTGGACTCGTTTAAAATATGAACTTGTCAGAAAATAACAATTACATATTTCCCCCAAATCATGTTGTTAATACAACCATATAAATTCATTCTCTTCTCTCTGCCATCTTGCCACCACTGCAGCAGCAGAATCATCCAGCCACCTCAACTTCTACAGCTCCCCCAGAGAATAAAAATATATTATACACTCACACAGACATTATTTCTTCTACCCTTTAATAGTAAAACATGAGGCTCAGTTTATATTGTTTACACATGATACAATAGAGGGAAGTTGATTTTCCACGTAAACACTAAAAGGAAAAAAGAGAAAAAACAATATCTCAAGATGGCTAAAGCTACTGGACATAAGCATGCTTGTGGTCTACAATGCTGGGGGTCTTGCGCTGTTCCTCAACTTGTTACTCCAGTTATCTTCAGCATCGTGACTTCCCTAAACCCACACCCCCAAACCCACTCCTCGCCCCTCCTGACCCCCAAACCCACACGCCGCCCTTCTGTGCTCATTCCCACAAGGGACACTGCCAAACGACTTAGCGGGGAACCCCTTTTCTCCACATCCATCACTGCCTATACATAAGGTCTTCCGTATCAGATACCATGCAGAGGATTGGGTTCCAAATCCCCATGTTGGCTGAGGGTGACCCTGTCCAAAGATCACCTGCTCCCCGATCCCCAATCACTTTCTGCCTCTAACAAGCAGTTTTCATTTTGATAAGAAATTTTTATTTAATTGAATTGTTTTGACAGATTTTTGTTTTTGTTTGTTTGTTTCAGTCAAGATTTAGTTAAATCTTTTTAGGTTCAATATGTTTACATGTTCCTAGAAGGTTGAGATTATTTTATTGAGACAACACCGTCCATATTAAGGGTGTTCTTAGATGTGGACTTGGATGGGTTGTGTTTCATATTTAAACCTGGTTCAGTCCTCACTTTGATGTGGTGAACGCACCACCAAAAAAAGGAACTCGGACTAGTCTCAGCACTTTTAATTGGAGAATATCTCTCCTTTTAATGATAGTTTTAGTCAATAATAATAGTAAAAATACAATGTACTTGTTCATGCCATTATGATTACTTTTTATTTTATTTTTACATATTTTTAATCAGTAATAACATGACATTGACCAAACTGTGACAAAAATAATTGACGAAATTAACACTGCTAACAAGCCCTGGATGCATGAGGTGGTGAAGAAACTAGCCCGACATCTGATCCTATAGCATCTGTGCATTGGTCCCCGGCCCTAAATCTATCGTCATGTCCTGACCTCCAAACCCACAGACGGGGGTGTACAGGGGAGGGGGAGGGGGGTGTTGTCCCAGGGTGTTGAAGCATCACTCAACAGTACAGGGTTTTCTGAACAACTTTTAAATAGATAGGCTGCTTCAGCTGCAGATGAAGTCCATCTCACCTGCTTCCTGGTCCGCGTCTTCCCCGTGCGGAGCTTGATATAGCGGGCGATCAGTTCATTCCTTCCTGCAATTTGTACAAAAATAATATGTCAATTTAAAACATGGAGGACACTACATTTAGTGAAATTAAAATAAAACTAGAAATGTGTATTTAAAAGTTTAATGTCTAAAACAGATCAGACTCAGAACTATCAGACGCAGAACTATCAGAACTTTAATTCAAGATCCTTTGGCCCATGTGAAAACTGCTAATAAAACGCTAACACTAATTCATATCACCTGACAATATCTATTTACACAAGTCACAGAGATTCAACATGTCTTTTTTTGGACTAAGTGTAACATATCATAATAGGTTATTTAGACACTCAATTACTGCATACTATTAACTGTGAGTTACGCTACTGTCCAAACTATGTGAATCTTGAGTACTACCGTCATTACTGTTACATTCGGATTAAGATTTTAACTGTAATTCCTGCCGCCATGTTGGCAAAAGAACTACAGGCGTTTTCACAATTAACAGCAACAAGAACTAAGCCCCTATAATCTCTCAGTCCCTATTTAATCAGAGGAGCCATCTAGTCTCTGCTGTTTGCGTTCACACAACAACAGTGGCTGAAACTGGGACTAACTGGATTTAAAATTACTTTAAATAAATAAATAAATAAATAAATAAAATCTGGGATAAAGAAAAAAATTTTTTGAGGAGCCAGCAACGATCAAAGAAAATCTTGCAATGCAATGGGAGGGATCTGGCTATTGTTTTGTCCTGTTCCCCCAACTCCTGACACCAGTCCAAAAGTACCTCAGACTAGGGCTGTCAAAAGTATAAAAAATCAGATACTAATTGATACAAAAACTAATATAGAAAGTAGCTGCCTATTTAAGCAAGTATCAATACTAAAAGATAATCACATAACTGGATAAAATTGGACCTTTTCTGAACAATTTCATCTTAAGTTTTATCAGAAGTAGTTTACGAATACATGGAATAAAAAACAAACATTATTATTTTGTGTATGACAATGGTAATATTGCCTAATAAAGAGTATTTAAAAAAGATCTTGGGTATCAAAACTGGTACCAAGTATCGAGTCTATTTTAGTATTGTCACTACCTCAGACTAAAATAACTTCTAATTTACAAACTAAGCTCTGATTTAATCATAATCATAAGATTGCAATTTAATATATGGTAACACTTCACAATTGATATCTAATGTAAATGTAAATGAAGTAAGTAAGGCCAGCAACACCTGTAAAAATGATCTCCCTAATTTGTTATTTCTAGCTCTACCCAAGAGTCCTGTTCAAACACAATATAAAAAACATGTGACAAATGTCAAAGCCAGGTTGTCAAAAGTGTCAACGCTGGAGAGTGCAGGTGTAACTATATTACTAAGTATAAGATATAGTATATACAGTATGTGCGTGTGTGATAGACAGGTCACACAGGGGGAGCAGGTGGGGAGTAAGACCACTGACCAAAGAAAGAGAAGGGAGAGAGAGGGGCCCTGGGACAGCTGCTGTGTATGTCAATGTTTATGGAATATGCCTTTACACCTACAGTAAATCATGGGCTGGTTCTCTCATACACAGAGTACTGTTACAGCTCAGGTCAGGAGGCTGTACTCCATATGCCATACAATCATGGATTTTCCATGTACAAAAAGCGCTCAATTAAGCAATAGCATTACAATAGCATGAACATATGTCACAACATAAACATACGTCACAGGTATCGAGGTAAAGAATGTCTCAAGTGCACTGATTTACAGAATTAGGAAACTACAGTTTCCTAATCAAATGGTCATAATGATGCATTAGTCTTTAGCACTTTTCCTAACAGCTTTACATTTTAGTACATACATATTAACCATTTTCTGTGGTAGTATCGCCCACTGTAGCCACATCTGCCCTGTAGCAGACTGACAGAAGCCTGCCAATCTGTACCAGTGGCCCCTCTGA